TTAATAGGTTAATTCCCCACAATGAATGTCCATACATGCCATTAGATGGATCTTGACCCCCATATCCCTTTGAAAGGGGCGTAGGGGCAAATATTGTGATAATTTGAATAAACACCAATTTCAGGCCGAAATGGTAAGGGCCGGGTCGGTTCAGCATTTTGGAATAAAATATTATATTTTTTGAATAGGCTAGTTTCCCCACAATGAATGTACATACATGCCATTAGATGGATCCTGACCCCCATATCCCTTTGAAAGGGGCGAAGGGGCAAATATTGTAAAAATTTGAATTATCACAACTTTCGGGCCGAAATTAGAAGGTCCGAGGTGGTTCAGCATTTTGGAGGAAAATATTTTTTTTTTTTAATAGGTTAATTCCCCACAATGAATGTCCATACATGCCATTAGATGGATCCTGACCCCCATATCCCTTTGAAAGGGGCGTAGGGGCAAATATTGTAAGAATTTGAATTATCACAACTTTCGGGCCGAAATTAGAAGGTCCGAGGTGGTTCAGCATTTTGGAGGAAAATATTTTTTTTTTTTAATAGGTTAATTCCCCACAATGAATGTCCATACATGCCATTAGATGGATCCTGACCCCCATATCCCTTTGAAAGGGGCGTAGGGGCAAATATTGTAAGAATTTGAATTATCACAACTTTGGATCCGAAATTGTAAGGGCCGGGTGGTTCAGCATTTTGGAGGAAAATATTTTTTTTTTTTAATAGGCTAGTTTCCCCACAATGAATGTACATACATGCCATTAGATGGATCCTGACCCCATATCCCTTTGAAAGGGGCGTAGGGGCAAATATTGTAAAAATTTGAATTATCACAACTTTCGGGCCGAAATTAGAAGGTCAGGGTGGTTCAGCATTTTGGAGGAAAATATATATTTTTTTTAATAGGTTAATTCCCCACAATGAATGTCCATACATGCCATTAGATGGATCTTGACCCCCATATCCTTTGATAGGGGCGTAGGGGCAAATATTGTGATAATTTGAATAAACACCAATTTGAGGCCGAAATGGTAAGGGCCGGGGTGGTTCAGCATTTTGAAGGAAAATTATATTTTTTTGATTAGGCTAGTTACCCCACAATGAATGTACATACATTCCATTAGATGAATCTTGACCCCCATATCCCTTTGAAAGGGGCGTAGGGGCAAATATTGTGATAATTTGAATAAACACCAATTTCAGGCCGAAATGGTAAGGGCCGGGTCGGTTCAGCATTTTGGAGGAAAATATTATATTTTTTTAATAGGCTAGTTTCCCCACAATGAATGTACATACATGCCATTAGATGGATCCTGACCCCCATATCCCTTTGAAAGGGGCGAAGGGGCAAATATTGTAAAAATTTGAATTATCACAACTTTCGGGCCGAAATTAGAAGGTCCGGGGTGGTTCAGCATTTTGGAGGAAAATATATTTTTTTTTAATAGGTTATTCCCCACAATGAATGTCCATACATGCCATTAGATGGATCTTGACCCCCATATCCCTTTGATAGGGGCGTAGGGGCAAATATTGTGATAATTTGAATAAACACCAATTTGAGGCCGAAATGGTAAGGGCCGGGGTGGTTCAGGATTTTGGAGGTGGTGCCGGAGGCATCATGTTTTCGGGTTGTCCGTCCGTACGTCCGTCCCGTTTGACCGTTATCACAATATCTCAAGAACCATTTAAGATTTAAACTTAAGACTCGGGAATAGTATTTATCACCATAGGAAGACGATCTGATTAGATTTTGGAGTACGTAGGTCAAAGGTCACAGGTCACAGAGGTCAACTTATGAAATTCCTTGTATTGAGTTTGTTAGCGCAATATCTCAAGAACCATTTGAGATTTAAACTTCAAACTTAAGGAAAGTATGTATCACCATAGGAAGACGATCTGATTAGATTTTGGAGCACGTATGTCAAAGATCAAGGGTCACAGAGGTCAACTTATAAAATTCCATACACTGAGATTGTTATCATGATATCTCAAGAACCACTGGAGATTTAAACTTCAAACTTAGTGATAGTGTGTATCACTATAGGAAAACAATCTGATTACATTTTGGAGCACGTAGGTCAAAGGTCAAGGGTCATAGAGGTCAACTTATGAAATTCCATACATTGAGATTGTTATCATGATATCTCAAGAACCACTGGAGATGTAAAAACTTCAAACTTAAGGATAGTATGTATCACCATAGGAAGACGATCTGATTAGATTTTGGAGCACGTAGGTCAAAGGTCAAGGGTCACAGAGGTCAACTTATGAAATTCCATACATTGAGATTGTTATCATAATATCTCAAGAACCACTGGAGATTTAAACTTCAAACTTAATGATAGTGTGTATCACCATAGGAAGACAATCTGATTAGATTTTGGAGCATGTAGGTCAAAGGTCAAGGGTCACAGAGGTCAACTTATGAAATTCCATACATTGAGATCGTTATCGCGATATCTCAAGAACCACTGGAGAATTTTCACTTCAAACTTAATGATAGTATGTATCACCATATCATAATATCTCAAGAACCACTGGAGATTTAAACTTCAAACTTAATGATAGTGTGTATCACCATAGGAAGACAATCTGATTAGATTTTGGAGCACGTAGGTCAAAGGTCAAGGGTCACAGAGGTCAACTTATGAAATTCCATACATTGACTTGTTATCATGATATCTCAAGAACCACTGGAGATTTAAACTCCAAACTTGTTTAAATTGCTCTATGGCGGAGGCATCATTTTCGACTGCGCGCAGTCAAAATTCCATCTAGTTTTGTTTGAGATGATTTTTCTATTATACTGAAATTCATTTAAATGTATAATTCTTTTAATGTGATGCAGCTACTGGTAATGTTTAATCAAACTTACCAGAAACTGCTCCATGTCTATAAAAAAAAAATTAATGAAGCGTTGATGATTAATGTAGCCGAGTAATTAAGACCAGACCAAAGATTTTGCAATTTTTTGTAAAATTTCTTTAAATTGAGGCACATAAAAGATTAAATTGTATTGCAGAATTATTTTTGTTTATATTTAGGATTTAGGATTGTAGTGCAATATGATCTATGCTATATTTAATCTTTATAACATTGTACATGTAATGCATGAATGAAGCAGTTCTAAGACAATATAATTTCCTCAGAACTCAAAAGACGTAAACTATAAGAGTCTAATAAGTTAGTGTGGTGCCCTGCTGAACAAGGTATACCCAAATGTGATATGATATGATATGAAATGCATGATTTATGTATCTTACTGTGTGTCTTTTATAATATTTGTTATAGTTATATAGTTTTATAGTATATAGACTAGTTATTGCTGAATAATTAAAGACGTTGGCAGAAATATATATTGGTCAGGTTTGAGTTTTGTTCTGTTTCTATTCACAAAGATCGTAAGTTGAGCTTAAGTTGGATTTAAACATTATGGAGAGCCATTTGTAGCCTTAAAATAAAATACATTAAAAAGCAAAAATTCAAGTATTTTAAACTTTTCATAAATTCCACATCAAGAACATAAAATCTCCTTAATAATAGAAAATATGAATGGTCCGAATCAAAATTTTATGCCTTTCAAAATGTCTTTTACAAAATATTTTCAAAGATACTAATGGCTAATTTACATAACTGTTAAGTCCATCTTAAAGATAAGTTCAACTTAGGATCTTTGTGAAACACCCCCCCCCCCCCTGCATGGTCTTCTTACACTGGATTTTTTAGGCTTTATATAATGTGCCATAGCCATAACCTAAAGGTATTACAAAGTTTTGGGAAATTTTGAAAAATGGGTGGATAGTGAATCTTTACAATTTTGATATATTTGGATGCCCCTGTGGAAGTATTAAAAGCACTAGAAATTTTAGCTCCTAAAACACTTCTGCTTTCGAGAAATATTGAATATAAGGATTTACAGGTGCTCCCGGTAAATGTTATTAAATTTCAAATAGCTCCTATACGGCCGTACAATGGTAGCTGCGACCATGGAAATCTCAGAATATGTAGTTGTGGTATATAATTACCGAACAGGAATAGCTAATCGGTCGATTTTAGTCAAGAAACATTGTTTTATAGCTTAATCAATATCTTGACCTTGAGAAGGAGCTATACAACATAAAAGTGTTTTATTATTAGCAATTTCATAAGTTTAGAGTCGATTTCGACCGCGACAACAATCAGTGAATATTATAGGATCGCATATGCTTCCAATATGTTCATTTGAACCAAATTCACGACCCCATACCAAAACTTTGTATTACCTTTAATGGGAGAGGTAGGAAAAAGGGCCCCAATTAAACAAAAATACATCATAATTTTATTTGATAAGGACATATAGTTTTGCAAGCTTTTCAAATGAGAATTCTCAACAAGTAAATGTTCAGCTTTTCCAACTCCAATACTGATCACTAAGGATGAAATTGAAGAATAGAGAAAGGGATATATGAGCTGAGAGAGGGAGATGTGTAGAAAGAAAGAGTGGAGAAAGCTGGAAAAAGAGATGGACAGACAGACAGACATGACTCTAAAGGATAATGGAATGTGAAAAAGGGAGGAACATGATGGCAAAACTTTATTTCAAACAAATAAAAGTCAATTAACCAAAGGCAATTTCTATAGCCTTGAGATAATTACATACTGAAGCATTTCAATATGACAATGATGTGTTATAATCTATATATTGGTAATGCAATAGTGTGACTGCCCTTGGTTTGATTATTTTTCTTCAAGTCTTTGTGATCGTGCTGAGGTGAGGTTCTAGGGGGAGTTGAGGAGAGGGAGAATAAATTATGTTATTATGAACCAACGATTCTGTATTATTAGCACATCTGATGAAAGGTAAATTTTTTTTATAGGAACAATCAAAATATCTTCATTAGCAAAACGTGTCCCCATATGATTATGCAACTGTACACTACACTGCATCGATTCATGTTTAATTTACAAACAAAGTTTTGGAAGTCTAGGACAAAGACTACTTGGTGTGCGAGTCGAGCTGCGTGAAACTTTCGTCGGCTCCTGAAACAATTTATTAGTAATATTTGCGAAAACTCTATAAAGAAGACAACATTGTGAGAATTGTTTGTGCAGCATTGAACTTATAAATGTAGGCATCTTTATCATCGTAATGGCGTGTTTTAAAACAGCATGCCTACCATGTTTTCAAGCTAAAATTCGTACGCTGGGAGGGCAGCTGGTTAGGACAAAGTTGCAACGGTTGCACGTATTGGAAGCTGCCCGAAGTCGAGCGGTTGGACTTTGTACCAACCCGATGGTTATTACTCGAACAATCTGCTGTTTGACTACGTGTGATCCCGGGAGTAAGCAGCATAAAAATGACTCCTTTCTTAAGAAATGTCATGGATTGACACCGACTAGTAGGAGACAGAACAGGAGATCATTCTCCTCTTCCTATGATCATCATCTTTCAAATGTTCTTGTTGTTCCCAAAACAACAAGATACATGTTTGAGAAACAGCGCTTCGGTGGAGTCGAGACTGAAGAACAAATTAGACGGAGGGTAAGACTAAGAGTAATTTTTAGAGTTTTGTCTGTCCACATCTGCAATGTATCATAACATCTTCTCTTTTTTTCTTGAAGGTGTATCTACGTTATCCTTTTCGGGAAGACTTCCTTTCGCGACAGCCACCCAAATTGAAACTTGAAAGAAAACAAAATTGGGTACAGCTTAGAATGGGAGTCGGGCTAACTCTGACCAAAGACAACTCGGCCCAGCTGGTTTAGGGTAAGGTTTAGGGATAGGGTAAATGACAAAATCTGACTGTTTTTGCAACTGGGCCGAGTTGTCTTTGGAGTTGGCCCGGATTCCTTAGAATGATATCTATAGACTATACATGCAATAATATGATATAATAATTTAGTCTATATCAAACATGGTAAAATGGGGTTAGCGTTAGAGTTAGGACAAGGCAAAAAAAAAATCGACTCTGAAATATGGCTCTAAACAGCGCCTCCTAGCGACCTACAAAATAAAGTCTAATCTGCCTAGAAATTTGTTACAAACCCCATCACAGGTACATTGAGAGCGTCACCGTCTTCCGTTGGAATAGGTGCAGTACGTATCAAATCCCTGGGGCTTTCAACAAAAAGTGAAATTTATAATTCATTTTATGTTAATATCACAGGATCAGGAGGATTACAAGTTGTTGAGACAACAATGGAAAAGTCAGAGAGACAATGAGAGATAGAAAGAAAGTGAAATAAGACAATACAAGAAACTTTGTTTTTCATTTTGAGTCGCTGTCGCAAAAGGAAGTCTTTCCTCATTTTCCATTTGTCTGTGTGACTTTGTCCTCTTTGCTGTTTACTTCGAAATCAAATCCATCTTTTAAGATTTACCACACAAAATTAATGTTATTATCTAACTCTTTTAGTTTCACTGAAAAGTGAGATCTTCCTTTTGTACCCCACCTCCAATCAGATTTTTTTAAATTTCTAATTTTTTTATTGGACATGGCTCGAAATGTTATTTCCTACCTATTAGGATGAGAAAAGTTACAAATTAAGAGAATCCTAGGATCTATGGTTACGGTAAGGGTTTTTCACAATTTTCTTACATATATGCAGCTGCTGGAGAGAGGATCAGACCTTGATTTCCTGAAGGATCGTCATAGAGTTCACTCGGAAAACACAGAAAGATGCAAGAACATTCTCCAGTAAGATGAGATTTGTACACCTGCAGCTTATACTCCTTCGGCAGGCAAAAAAAAAAGACAGTTTTCACCTCCATTTTAAATTTGATCACTGTTGATGTTTCAACGGTGAGGGATTGACCCATTTGATGATTATCTTTCGGTACTGTAGATTAACTCAGTCCTTTCAATTTTTTTGTTATGATTTCCAAATTCTGAGTTATGTATTTATCAAGATAATTAGCCCTGATTGAGTGAGTGTTTTCCATTAATCATAATGAGGGGGGTGGGATGCCTTCATACGTTTAAACAAACATTTAATCTGACATTTGTATTGTTTTTGTTTTTGAAAACAATTGACTTATAGAATTTCCTCCCATGTTGGATACATATAGGAGAGAAGACCAAAATTGTCACCTTCTTTAGAACCCCATTTCTTCATTGTGTTTTCCCTTTATTCACCCATTTTCATCTCATTTAGAAAGCTAGGTTTAGAGACAAGAACTGTTGACCGTTACCACTTCAACGATGCTGCAGTCAGGTGGGCAGACCTCATCGTATCTATGGGAGGAGACGGCACCTTCCTCCTAGCTGCAAGTAAGGTTTTAGACCAGACACCGGTGATAGGGGTCAACACCGACCCCGAAGGGTCTGAGGGTCATCTATGTCTACCCAACAGATATACCTTTCTCTTTGAAGATGCCATGAAGAGGATACTGTCTGGCGATTTCAGGTAATCTTCATTTAGATCCATCCCCATGTTTCTCCAAATTCTAGTACCGGTAATTAATTGACCAATGTTTACAGTTGTTACATGCATTTGCACATATATGTGGACGTTTTATCCCTCCACTCTCTCTTTTCTCTTTCACATAGCTACAACTTTTTAGTGAGAGTAGTTCTTGGTCTGTTTCCATAAAGTACGAGTTCAGTCATTCAAATTCTTAATTGACCAATGTTTACAGTCATCACATGCATTTGCACTTATATGTGCATGTTTTATCCCTCCACCCTCTCTCATCTCTTTCACATAGCTACAACTTTTTAGTGAGAGTAGTTCTTTGTCTGTTTCTAATTGCAACTGCAGTCAATCACAAAAAATGCAATTGCACATTTGCTCCTTGGAAGACTAAAGTGTAAGAATCCGTGGCCCCATCTAACAGAGTTGCAATTGATCCAAATTTAACAAATCCTCCAGTCACTCACAAAGTTACAATATTAGCATTTTCTAGTCAGTCCTTCTTATTTTCTGCATGATGAACTATTTAGGACTGCTTCTCTCATAAGGTAGCTCTGAAATCCTGGGATCCATTTCACAAAGCCTTTTTTCATGACAAATGACAAAAATCAGTGACAACTCTGCTGATAACCAATCAGAAGCAAGGATTTCAGTAGCTTATAACAAAAACTGTCATTTGTCACTGATGACAAGTTTTGTGAAACACCCCCCCCCCTGATTGCCTTTGAATCTTTACTTGAAAAAAAAACTTTTCTGTGGTTCCTCCGTCTGCCCTGGACAGGTGGATGAGGCGTCAGAGGATACGAGTGACCGTAGATGGCCGCATGGTCAACAAGGACCCCATCGATCTCCATGAGCTGGAGCTGAGCTTCCCAGAGCACTACCACACCCATAGCCAGCAGGAGAGGCGTATGCACCAGGGACTGGATTGTATGGTCAAGGGACCTAGGGTGCTGCCTGTTAGAGCTCTGAATGAGATCTTCATTGGAGAGTCACTCTCTTCAAGGTAATACAGGCCTGATAATTACCCGATTTAAATCGGTTTCCAATGTTTTCCATTTAAAAAAAAAAAAAAAAAATTCCCCCCAATTTTTCCCGTATTTTCTCTATTCTTCCAAATTTGTTCCAAATTTTTTTACTCAAAAGAGGGGAATGTTGTTAGATGCCATTTTTTTTAAAAAGTGTTGTGGTATAGTAGTCCATTCACTTGACTTTCAATTCAAGGGTTTAGGGTTTGTGTCCCAGCCCGGCACTAACGTCCTTTGGCAAGACGTTAATCCACTTTTGCCACTCTCCACCCAGGTGTTCGATGGGCACCCGGTAGGAAGCGAAAGTTGTTGTAGTTTGCCCAGCATTGTATTGTGAGCATCTGCAAAATTACTCTTGGCTAAAATGCTCCCTGGGGAGTGGAGAATGTGCAGGCAAGCCTGAATCCAATGAATGAGGGTAATATCTGTAAAGCGCTTAGGAACATCTTTGATGTATTAAGCACTGTATAAACCCAAAATATTTTTATCATTATAATGTTGCTAAAGTATGGTTGTGTCACAGCTCAGATATATTGTTAAGCATATGTAGGATCAATTAATCCACAGTTGATTGACACTGCTGCTCAACATGTTAACTCTATGACAAGTGCTCTGTTTTCATGTTGAATCTTAATACAGAATGTCCTACTATGAGATGTCCGTGGATGACGGCCCAATGGAGAAACAGAAGAGTTCAGGGGTCACAGTGTCAACAGGAACTGGGTCATCGTCATGGTAAGTGCTATCATTATACTCCCTCGTATATCTAGAATCAAATTGCTCATAAACATGTATCAATAACAAATGCTAAATATCTATGACAAATTTGCTCTCAACCAATCAAATGCCACAATTTCAGTAGCTTATAACCGCTATTGTAACTTGTTATTGATAGCCAGTTTTATGAAACAGGGCCCGGAACCATGCTAATTCTAAGCATAGGCTTGTTGTAACTCGTATACGAACCCTGAAAGCAGCATTGAATTCAATTCACATTATCCTAGATTTCCATAAAATGTACATGGGGTTGGAGAGGAAGGGGCAGGGTCTATTTCTTCATCATGTCTTTTTAATATGTGATGATAACTATTTCCTTGGGTTAGATGGACAGTATGATTTCTTATGAGTGATTAAACCAGTCCTATAACGACAGCCTTTAATTCTCCCTAGGGGAAGGTGTCAAAACCTAGCAGTTCTTCACAAGGGGGTAGAATTAGAAAAGAAAAAAATGTGAGAGGATAGACAGCTATTGAAGCAGAGGGAGCCTATTCCCTTACTCGGATTAGGAACCAGTCCATCGCAATGAATCATATATACAGTGCATATTTAAAAAATATACCCAACTTTAGTAATTTATAAGTGAATCATATCTCATGGTTAAGGATAACCAATTCCCTGTCTAATGATACCATATTCGTAATTGTGCTGCCACAGATGACTGAGCAGCAAGCTTTTCAAAAACTATCGTCAAAATGCTCTTGTACCAAGTTTGGGCTGAAGTAATAAATGTGGGTCAAAAGCTCTGTATGGTATCTCATTCCAAAAAAATATTTACATTGATCGTTAGACAGTTGAAGGGAAAAGTTGTTGATATCAAAATTATCAACTCAAACTCAAGGAAATGCCTATCAAAAGCAGAAATATTATGAAGAGGGTATTGTATCATTGGACAGAAAACAAGTTACCGTACTCTTCATCATGAAATAGATTTCAAAGTCATAATGGTTATGACGTTTTAATTAGGAGCTACCAAAGTTGGATACACCTTTTTTGATACACACTGTACTGGTCTGAATACATTGATGTTTTTTTCTACTTCTATTTTCATTTCAGGTCTTTCAACATCAACAAACTATCTTGCCTAAGTGTAAAAGACATCCTGAAAATAAGTGAGTATTGTAGAAGACGATGTCCATTTATTATCATACTCTGAGATGTCCTCCCACAATGGGTAGGCAAAATGTAAATATATTTGACCTGAATATCGATATCTTTCATCAAAACTACATTGAGTTAATTAAACAAGGCTGACTGTATAACCTTTTTTAATTCAAAGAGACTTAGAGAAATTCTAAATGCTTCTCATGGATTCAAAGGGGTTATTTGGTCCAGCTACATACACACATCTTGCTGGAAACTAGATCACTGAAGAATAAAGTTCCAGAATATTGGCAATAAAAATTCCATTTATGTCATTCCACCAAAAGCACGATACTCATGGGACCGACCACAAGTTCTTGTGGTCAAAATGCGACCAGGCCAACTACTTTTAGACAGCTCTCCTCATGCTCCTTTGCTTATTATTCAGACATGTTATCTACCTGATTCATAGGGCAGACATTTGTTTGTCGTCTTAAGTGTAAGTTTAATTTGATTCTGCGCATATTTTTTCTCCATGATTACCAGAATTCAATATGCTCTTTCATCCATGGTGCTTTTGGTAAAGGTTCTATATTCTTTTTGTCATGCCAATGTACATGTACCGTTAACAACTAGATTATTCATACCAAGTATTTCAATTTTCTAAGTATGCATAAAAATTGATTTGTACCGATAAATGTGTCTTGACGATGTGACGTATTAATATAACATCTAAAAGCATTCAACAAATGCCCTAATTCGACCAGTCCACATTTCATTCCCGAGTTAAGAAAAAAAAAAAAAAACATTTACAAGGGGTACAAATAATTTAATTATTAACTGTATGTTTCTGCTTCTTTTGGGGTACAGTATTCAATTCATATTTTCTCCTGGGGTCTTTGTCCACACAGCCAACGAAGAAACAGGCAGCAACCTAGCTACAGAGGACTGCACAGTGGAGAGGATAGCAGACCGGTTCAACTCCTCTCTCCTGTTTGACGGTGCTGATCCTCGCATGGCATACACGGTCAGAGATCCCGTAACAAACAGAGTCTACCAGTCTGACATGCCCAGGGGTTTTGCTAGGAAGTAAGTAATCAAGTACATTTCCTTTTCTGTGTCATAATTCATCAATTTTATTGTATAAGCCTTTTCAGATGTTTTACACCAAATTTTCTAAAGGCACAAGTTCAGATTTCATTCCAATGTGCTTAGTCACCAAAATATTATGTTTTGTTTTTTTGTGTAGTCCCTCATGTACATTTTTATGGATATAATTTTTAATTGTGGGGAAAAATAAGAATCTGATACACCCTTCTCAATTTTTGCCCTGGCTTTAGCGGGACAAGCTGAAATAGTGGGCTGAAAAGAGTCAACAGAGAGAGGATATTGTAGACAGATTGTCTAGCCTTAGGGCTTAAGGATTCAAAATAATATCTTAATGATTACTAATTAGGAACACAATTCAGCTTGTCTGTGTCATAATTCATCAATTTTATTGTATAAGCCTTTTCAGATGTTTTACACCAAATTTTCTAAAGCCACAAGTTCAGATTTCATTCCAATGTGCTTAGTCACCAAAATATTATGTTTTTTTTTGTGTGTAGTCCCTCATGTACATTTTTATGGATATAATTTTTAATTGTGGGGAAAAATAAGAATCTGATACACCCTTCTCAATTTTTGCCCTGGCTTTAGCGGGACAAGCTGAAATAGTGGGCTGAAAAGAGTCAACAGAGAGAGGATATTGTAGACAGATTGTCTAGCCTTAGGGCTTAAGGATTCAAAATAATATCTTAATGATTACTAATTAGGAACACAATTCAATTTTGCTAAATATCTATTATTTTCCCTATTTTTCCGTTCTCCATGACTGGATGTGTGTTTGTAAATTGACCGCTTGGACTCGTCTTTGTTGATTTATTTGTTCCAGGATCGTGATGAGATCTCGATGTTGGGATGCGTCTCTGGTCATAGATGCGGGATCTTCCTTCATCTTCAACGACGGGGCGATCGCTACCATGGAAATCAACGAGAAGGATGCGCTCAACACCGTCGAGTTAGATTGATGATCAAGAATTGAGTGTCCATCTGTGGACTGAACATATGAGATAGGTGGGCAAGAAGTCTAAGTGTGCCTCGATGGAGCTTAACCATCAAAATAAAAAAGGAAATATTAAGCACTAGGCGTTGTGGCGTGCGCCTGTAATCCAGCTAACAGTGGAAGTTACAAACCGATTCAGCCGAGGATGCAGGTTCGAAACTGAGTAACGTCTTTCGGATGGTGACGTTAAAGGTCGGTCCCCGGACGTAAATAATCATATCTGATTGATACACGTCTGTAAAAACCCAATTTAACACACACGCACCTTTGAGGTACATGTAGTAGATTGATGAAAAAATGGGGATCTTTCAATGGCAAAGATTTACAAAAACTTGTAAAATGGATGATGAACAAGTTTTTTGTCGACCTTGATGGATCACTAAGCATTGAAATGAATGCAATGGACTCTCTGAACAACATTAGGAGATGAATGATCAAGGAGCCTTTCGGGGAGAAAATGTACTTAACATGAAAGGATGATGATCGAGAAGTTTTGGCCAACCTTTGATGTTGGTCTCCCTTTGTGGATCGGTCAATGTGAACACCTTGAAGCCTTGTCAATGCATTGTGATGTCAAGATATGTGGCAAAGACACATGCCTCCCCCCCCCCCCCCTTCCCCCAATCAATGAATGGTGAAGGAAGAGAGAGGGGGAAAGACAACAGGAAAAGAAGATGATACAATCCCTTCCCACTCCCTCTCCTATCACTTTGGTCTTGATCCTAAATGCATTTTAGCCTCCTTTTTTTTCTTCCTGACGCTATCCTTTTCGGTAGAGTGATAAAATCACAAAATATTCATAGCAGAAAAATCAAAGATGTGATACATTTCTTAACCAGTTTTGTTGCCATACTGAATGTTCAAAAAATGGGTTGAATACTCATAAAATAAGCTTTGAAAGTCTGCAAGTTGGCAACACATGATCTAATTTGAAAACTGAACTGTTGCAAAATTTAATAGTCATTAGTTAAGTCATATTTTCTAAATAAACACATACATGTAACATTGTATTGAGACAAAGAAAATTATTGTGTCGTCAATTTAATTCATGCAGCTGTTAGGAAATACCTCATCTTCATTGAGTTGAAGGGGCGGTCTTGTTACTTACCGGTAGGCTAGTAGTGTTGGAGAGTTAAATCGCTCATAACTGTGGATTTATCATTACTTTGTGCTGCAAGACAGAGGGATATCTTACAATTATTCTCACTTTATTGATGCAAGGATTTTTTTTTCAGCAGTGGCCTTAAAAAAACTTGTACCATACATAATGATTGAACATTAAGTTCTCTTTATGAGAGCTACACAATATGAAGTATAGATTGGAAGTCATTAAAACAGCCCGTACAACGAGGTCCACCAAGGGAATGTATCGATGTTGTACATGTATGTATGGTAGTATATGTTTGTTGTTTTTATGCCTTCGTTACGAAGTAGCCGGAGGCATTATGTTTTTGGGTTGTCCGTCTGTCCGTACGTCCCGTTCTCGTGATCGCGTTATCTGAAGAACCGATTGATGGATTCCTGCCAAACTTTGGTCATGTATGTATCTTGCAGAGCCGATGAACTGATTAGATTTTGGGGTCACGAGGTCAAAGGTCACAGGGCTCATTATGTATGCAAAAACAGCTCGTGATCGCTTTATCTGAAGAACCGATTGATGGATTCCTGCCAAACTTAAATCATGTTTGTATCTTGCAGAGCCAATGAACTGAGTAGATTCTTGGGTCATGAGGTCAAAGGTCATGGGTTCATTATGTATGCAAAAATAGCTTGTGAACGCATTCTCATTAGAACTGACAGATGGATTACTATTTAACTCAGGACATCTTGCATCTTACTGAATAGATTTTAGGGTCATATATGTATATGAGAAATTGCTTGTAATCACGATATTCTGAGAACCTGTTAATGGATTACAATTGAACTTGAATTTGAAAAATTTCTTCTGTTTTGGTTTGTAAAATTGCTCTATGACGGAGGCATCATTTTCGACTGCGCGCAGTCGAAGTTCTATCTAGTTTGCTATTTTTCTTGACAGAACATGTGTGCTTAACTTTATTATTCCATAAAGTTGGTATACATGCAAAGCTCGTGCCAAAGTTAAAAGTTACCGTAATCTGTTGGATTGATAATAGTCTTTTTGCTGTTTGTTTCATTTCAATTTCTTTTCACTTTATTATTTTTTTAGTTTAAGAAATTATTGGCTGCCCTCATGTTGCTGCAGATACCCATAAAATGGGATGACTTTGAGGATATGAAATATAAAAACTTAATAATAAAACTGTAAATACAGTTTAAATTTTTTTCTTCTTACTTTTCACCATTTTCTTTTCTTCTTGAGACCATTTTTAGGGATAAACAAGAAGCTTCTATATGTGTGTACTTTTTTTTGCTTGAAAAGATATGGGTGCACCAATGTTCATATTCATAATATGGGTAAAATTGCACTCGTACATGTACACTTAAAAAAGTATTGTTCCATTTCATTTTCTCATAAATCTCTGTTATGGAGTTCCGCAGTGATGTTCATGTGCACCCCATCTGCACAGGTCCAGCTGGTGATGTATTCACCATACACAATGCCTGGAGATCCTTGTATTGTGAAGAGGTAATGCATGATCAGCTGGCTCTTTGCAGCTAAGGGTGCTCACAAACAGTCCTGCAGAACGTCATTAAAAGGGGTGTAGCATGGCAAATACTGGTTAACGCCATCTACGACTTCTTTTGGACAACTGCACATAAACAAGTTGACTTGATTAACGGTCAGCGCTCGCTAGCGCTCGTGAAACAGACCTAAGTTTTCCTCACGTTTTAGTTTTGTGTATGTTGCATGCACGTGAATACTGTGGTCATGTCGTCCCTAGTCGTATTATACCCAATTGGCCTCCGAGTCAGGCCACGGGAAAGACACAGTCTCGTCATGCTACAGCCCCTGTAAATGGTGTGATTTTCAGTTCATGGTAGTGTGCTCAATGGAAGTCTCTCCATTGTGATAACAGTACAGTAGAAAACCTGACCAACATCATCTATGGAATATATCTATGAATAAGTATCTATGGAAATGATTGCAGGACCCTCAGGGAGAACAGTATTACTGCCGATGAGGCTACCCTGGGTAAACAAGACATTTGATCATCATTATTAAGTGTTTCGCTGAACAAACCAGCCGGTATGTATGTGTATACATGTAATTGTGTTTGTGAAAGACATATACATCTAGAGAACTGATTCTGTGAGCAGTTCTCACTAATGTCCACGCCTTTTGTCTATGAGACTCTAAATTGTAGTGTGTACAGCTCAGGATTGAGGTACATTGTATGGAAATCATGATTGATGTAATATTTTCTGCATGTTGAAGAGTGACTATGAATAAATCATGTTGCTAAGTAAAGTTCTCATTGTGTGTGATTATTTTTTAGCATTTTTTAAATTACAACTATTTGTTAATGCGAAGCTGAAGTACAACAGATTTGAATGCCTAATTTTCACGAGAAATGTGAGTAAAATATGCTTTGATGGTGGCTAACAGAAACTAATAAGACTCTTTTTTTACACAAAAATGAAAAAATTATTGATTGGATTCATAAACCCCAAAACTCTTGAACCCCATAGAGAGCAAAACAAATAACAACACTTGAAATATAATGTATATATATATATCACAATACCACTTGGATTTATTACAAAATAATACAATATATACAATATCTCTTATATACAATAATAATAGGCACCATATACAAATGCTGACAACGCAGATGTATTGATCTCGTGCCGCTATGCTGTCATGTACATTCCCATCCTTAGGCAATGCATCAAACATAGGCAGACAATACACTTGCATATAAACAATCAATTCATTTAAATAAATGAATCGTGAGCTTGTCAGATTATAATCATCATTATATAAAAATTCCTGATAGGTACACAGCAAAATCACTCTGTTAAGTACAAGACAAAATATATCTTAGTAATAATTAAAACATGTCATACATGTATAAACAAAGCAATCAGTGCTTTACAAGCATTGATAATTTCATTTTAAAATACTTTATGAGCGAGGCAAGATAAAAAAAAGTTATCAAATAAAACTAGCTTACAGCATTAAATATACTCAGGTCGATACGATTCAAGAACAAAATCAATTGAATTTAAAAGGACTTGTTTGTATTTATTAAATTACCAGTCTTAATTGTTGAGATAGTATCATATATCAAATGGAAATTTTAAAAAGAGTATATCAGAATGGTAAAAAGTTTTAGGCACTTAGCTGGGACATATGGCACTTGGAAATATAAAATCATTAAAAAAGTGAGCACTTTTTTTCTGAAGTATTTTTACACCGAGGATAAAATGTAAAGCTTACTTTACACAGCCTTGCATTTCTTTACCAAAAAAAAGGAAAAACTTATTTTAGTAAAGATAGTAAAACAACCCATATTATAGAATATGGACAGAGAATTATCACATTTTAAAATATATACTTTATATTGGGGTTAAAAGCTTCTCCAATATCATAATTAGCTGTTGGGATATAACTCTCCTTTTGTTTTTATACATTATAGTATATGAAAGTCAGAGAGGGAGTTTTCCAAACACTGGGTTTCTTTAATGGAAAGAAAATACATAAATATTAACAATCGTAATCTTCTTGGCAAAACTATGTCAATCTGGGCACATTTGGTGGTTCTTTAGCGAATACAGTCACTGTTAATTAAGGCAGAAAAAGTTTAAAGGATCCAATCACACACGATTTTAACCTTGGCTTTTATAATATATTGCTAGAAATAAGGACACACACACACACATAATTTAAGGCTAACACTTCTGATGTACTTCTAGAAATGGGTATCCATTGGAATGGTATCGACATTGTAAAAAAAATATTAAGTACATCTTGGCTACATACTTATTGTTGGCATTGATAATGTCTAATAACTGGGCACTTCATGAAGTATTACAGAAAAGTTGAAATCAATCGTGGATGAGTTAAAATTATTTCAACTTACTGTAACTGAAATGGTAGAGATCCTTTGAATACAAAGAAGTATATGCAACAATTTCATGTACATTATATGTAAGAAATTAATCTCACATCATTAAAACATGATTGTCTTTACCATAGACAGATTTTTAAGAAGAGTGACATATAAAAAATAAACTTCACTTATTCTCACTTTAACAAGCAGCATTTAAACTGTCCACATAATGTCATCACATCTTATCGCAGTCTTTGCACACAAGTACGTTACCGGTATGTCAAATTTATACTTTCCTAGTACAGTTACATCAGTCATAAAATCACTTGTCTTGGGCAGAGTAGAGAGTATTACTCTTGGTTTCACCTGACCAGCATGGCACCTGAGAAGTCCAGACTATTTGTTGCGGGAACTACATTTCTATCTGCACATCACATGGTAATTAGAATTCAGGCTTGAAAAAATATTGAAAGATTCTTTGCTCAAGTCTATTCCTCCAAGCAGAAAGAAACACTGCTCGGATATTACCTCCACAAATGAAGCCAGCTACATTCATGGCTTTGTCTCGATCTTGAGCTCATCAAGCCTCAAGGTAACCCTGAAAGAAGAACCTTTTGCTTGAGAGCTCTTATTGGAATACAATACTATTTTATAGGCATTGCTTCAAGCAAAAAAGCCAGCTTAAAATGGTTTCTACATCCATTACTTAGACTCTTTATCTCCTTAAGGCTCTAAGAAACTCTGAAGTAACCCAGAAATAAAATTCCACTTCAGTGAATTCCTCTGCAACAGACATTAAGCCAACTTCGGATGGTGTTTGGATTATTTTTTCCCTCTCCAGATACAAGATACATCAAATTCTTCCAAGAAATGAAAGAAGTACCCTCATTGCTTCAAGATAGACTAGAATAGCCCAAAGGCTCATCTCTTCATCTGAGTGAAAGCAGGATGCTTCAGAAGCTCCATGACGCCTGGTCGAGCGGATGGCTCGGCCTCGAGGCAACGAAGAGCGATGTCATGTAGGGCTGGAGGCTTCAAGATAGATTAGAATAGCCCAAAGGCTCATCTCTTCATCTGAGTGAATGCAGGATGCTTCAGAAGCTCCATGACGCCCGGTCGAGCGGATGGCTCGGCCTCGAGGCAACGAAGAGTGATGTCTCGTAGGGCTGGAGAGAGGGATTCTGGGATCGGCGGAGGCCCATTGGCACTTGCGATCTGAAGATAGAGGGATGGAAATTCAATGTAAATTTAACAGGAAATGACATACATGTACATGCATTAAAGAGAAAAGTAAATTCTAAACCATTCTACCATGTCTTCATTCTATTTTCATTTTCATATCTTACAGCTTTTAAGTTCTGAGATTATCATCTTTATCATTACATTAAATTCATCTTTTGTTAATTTTCATGCCAATACCGAGTTCTGCATAGCAACATGTACTCTAGGACATCAGATTGCCAATGACCCTACAAAGATAGCATTCTGCACAAATTTAACTCTCTTTACACGACTCAATCTTTTTTTCTGATATATTTAACCATCTGTTTTGCTCATCCTTTTCTAAAAACACAACTCCATGTTGCCATATACTTTAAAACATTGATCATTTGTCTATGGTAATGCCGGGAATAGGATGATGGACGACATACCTTGAAAAGGAGTTGGTAATGGTTGGATATCGCTGTGTTATTCCATGGTGGTTTAGTGGTGCACATCTCAATGATACAGCACCCTACACTCCAGATATCACAGCTACGACCGTACGGCTCTCCTCTCAACACCTGTATGATCACAAGAAACACAAACGGATTAATAAATAATACCATGACTTTACAGAATTGACATGAATTGAACTCGATTTTAAAATGTAGGTCGAGTGCACAACTATAGACTTCACACAAGCGAACACCACACTTATCTTTTTCATTATACTCACAGCCATATAAGTAATATTGGGCTGCTTATATTTATTTATACAGGGGAAGCACATTTTCAACAAAAAGTATTCCTCCATCGGGCTCTGTATCATTATTGGTAATTCAATAAAAACTCATAAAAATCTTGCAACAAAGCCCAACTCTGAAGGAAGTATAAATAACTTTTTCTTCTTCTTCTGTTTTGGCTTATTGGTGATAAGTCAGTTGTGACTATTGTTGCCAAAACCAAATTTTATAGTATCATTAAAGACAAAATTTTAAAAGAGAAAAGAAAAAAAACGAAAATTACCTCTGGAGCCATGAAGGAGATAGTGCCTAGGAATTGACCTTTGAACTCATCAGTCCGCGTGATATCAGCATTCATCTTGCCTGCTGTACCCAGGTCAGCTATTCTCAGGTGGTGGCCAGTGCTATCCATCAGCAAGTTGGCCCCTGAATCAGAATATGCGACAGAAAAGACAATGCTATTAGTTGAGTAATAAGATATGTTTTAGTTGTGTTATCAGACACTAGGTCTTTTCTAAAAATGAATTCAATTTTGTTTTCAGTAGTAAAACTCATACTTTATAAGACAACTTGTGCAGCACATGACTAATGTCTGCCTCGATACTTTACTGTGATGGAAAAACAAGGTATAAAACAAAAACTTGAATATACTAGTACTGCACTCCAGACAAAAGAAGGACTCTAGCACACACTTTAAGATACAGCATTCAAAATGCCAGATTAAGACAATGTTAAAGGCTGGTACAGTCAAACCTGCTGGAGTGACCACCTGTTTACAAAGACCACCTGTCTACAAGGACCACATTTGTTGTTTCCCTTGAAAATGGTTTCTCATTGAAACATGTACTTAACCCTATTTAGCCCGGGGGGGGCTTGAGAAGCCCCCCCCTCGACATTTTTCGCGATAATTTTTTAACGCAAGAAAATCTTGCACTGAAATTTTGTGACTTTTTTCTTTCGAGTCTTGCGCATCTTTTGAATGAAATTTTTCGAAAATCGGACCTACCATTACGAAGTCACGTGTCCTTTTGTCTTTGCATGTCAGCCCGAAAATCGCTCATTTTTGTGATTTGTGTACAAAACATATGTAAATCTCATTTTTCAAATAAAGAGATAAAACATTGGTTATTTGGTCTTGTTTATAGTTTAGGTGTTTATTTTTGGGTCAAAATAGTTGAATTATAGTTGGAAATGAAATAAAACAACAAAAACAATAAAATACATAACTTAAAAAAAACAAAGAAATACATAAGAAATTAACAAAACAATAGATAACATAAGGAATAACCCTGGTTTTTCAATTTTTTGTGTTGTATTATTATTCCAAATGGTCTAACAAATATATGTAGTGAGAAAGAATGCTTAAATATGAATAATGTCTGATTTATGGGCAAAAATGTGAATTTTATGACCTTATTTGCATAAATTACCATAAATATGCAAATGAGTGAATTTTTCAAAAAATTGAAATTACCATAGTATTCTATACACTTCACTTGACATGTATGCAAATTTTCGCGGCGATCGGGCGTTTCACGGCCGAGATCATAGGGGGGGGCCTGAGAAGCCCCCCCCTGGGCTATGCAGTTTCAAAATAGCCCGGGCTAAATAGGGTTAAGGAACCCGTCTTCAAAGACCACCTGTCTACAAGGACCACTTTTTATGTTTCCCTTGGGCAGTCACTGTAGACAGGTTTAACTGTATATGACCGGCTCTCACCTTTAAGGTCTCTATGGATGACCCTGTTATCGTGAAGATAAGCCAGCCCCAGGCACACCTGGTGGATGTACTTGACCGTCACCGCGTTGCTGAAGGCACCGAAGTCCTTGAGCAGCGTGGAAACTGCTCCACCCGGCATCCACTCCACAAACACATTGAAGTGGGCGTCGTGCTGCGTCGCCCCCATGAGGCGGACGATGTGAGGGTGGTCAAAGGTGGCCATTAGCTTGATCTCCTTCTTGATTTCCTCCATGGTGTCTTCTTGGTCTCCGGCGTTGTTGCGACAGAATGATATCTGAGGTGGAAAAAGGACATGAGCCAAGATTGTCAGGGTATATTTAATTTGATACATGATATGTTACTTTCAAGTCAGTTTATGCAAGATGACTTATTATTGTTTATCTCTGTTAAATTGCTGATTGAACCCTGATTGTTGCGTCAGTATACAGCAGTGCGTGGTTTCTTTTCTTGGGTCTTGGGCATCTGGATGTCATCCAAAATCACACGCCACAGGGACATAGGGCAAGAGAGTGATATTACAACTTCTAGGTTACTAGAGATGTAAATCGTTTGATAAAAATGCCTGCATCACTAGCTGATGAAGGTATTTTGAAGTTGTGATAAAGCTCATTCCTACAATGAGGAGGACCAGAATATAAGAATGCCAGCCAACTATTCTAATTAAGCCATACAACCCTAACACCACAGGCATCACTCCTTTCTGGCAACAGTTGCATGGAGCTGTTAAAGAAGGCTGGAAATGTACTGAACTGTATGTGATTAACTTAATATCTCGGTAAATCTAAATTAATCAGATAGATTGCAGTATGGAACCAGAATCTGTCGAGTTATTCCAGAACCCTCAGCAACCATTGATGACTGATTTTTTGAGAGCACGTACCTGTTTGACTGCCATCAACGTTCCTGTCTTGACGTCCCTAGCCATGTAGCACGATGAGAAAGCACCCGTACCTAAGATAGCACCCTTGGTCCAATTCTGGGACTCTGTGTATTGCTTTGATCTTGGGCTTACAACACCATCAACCTCCTCTGTGGAATTCTGCACAAGAGACAAAGAGGGAATACAAATTACAATATAATCATTTCTTATGCATTTAATATACAAATTACTAACAAAACAGAACAATATTACATGTAGCCTTAAAGATGTCAATGCATGCATGGGTATAAAGTCGTTCGTGAAGTAGGCAACTTGGCGAACAGTTAACCAATGGGTATATCTCAGATCTCTTCATGTATATTTTTTTTTATCTCTTGTGACAAAAAAATTGCCTTTACCTTGTGATCTATCTTGATGATAACATCTCCATCCCTCTCTGTCCTCAGCCCTGGGACACACGGTAAGACACACTGAGTATGCATGGATGCTTCCATGGCAATAGCTAAAGCTTCTGCTTCCTCCGCCTCCACCTCATCTTTGCAGTTCTTGGAGCCGACGCCCGGCAACGTGAAGTCGAATGCGGCCATTCTCTTCTTCGGCGAGGATGCCACTTCCGACTTGAAGCAGATGGGGTTGTCACAGGGTGTGGTCGGAGAGGCTGATGACAAGTCGGATAGGTCGCTAACGTTCGTTTGCTCGTTGCTATCTGTTCTCGTTGGAAAGCAACCATCTGCATTGTCTCTTAGAGAAGGTCTCGATGGTGTTATTGCATGATCATATCTTCTTGACGATACATTAGTGTTTTCTGCAGCACAAGGGGAATCCTGAATATTGGATAGCATCCCGTTCCGTCTCCCATCTCTCTCATCATCACACACTCCTCCTCCTTCATCGTGACCATGCACAGCAGCATCCTCTCTCTCCCTCGCTGCTTCATCTTGAGCACCTTCATACTCATCGAGGATCTTCTGGAGTCGGCGCAACATCCGGCTTCCCACCTCCCGCGATTCCAGCGTCCTCATCATGTCACAAATCCTGGCGAACCCCGAGGCATCCGCTACTAGGATCTTCGCCACGGTTACCGATATCTTCTTAGCGATCTTGCACATCCTGGTATGGCTGCTGTTGAGGTAGGAGGACACGCAGGTCGCTATGGAAACCAGACACTCGATCTTGCTCGCCTTCTCCACTTCAGAACTGTGGTCTTCGGTGATGACGAAGCGCTCCGGGAAGTCAGAGAAGACTCTCTCCAGGACACAAAGACATCCTAGGATGTGTTGCCACGATGTCTCTCCAACGTTGATCTGGATGTCGCTGATGAGACAAGACAGGATATAATCCAGGCTGCCCAGTCCTATACAACCTGTTGGTACACAAAAGATACGAGGACATTAATATTGTTTCTCTTTTAAAAATGCATTGAAATTTGTTGAATGAGTATATTGGTTTCAGAGAATTCAATATTGTATTTAAACTGACAGCACTATGATTTTTAAGGATCTGAACTTGGAACTTACTTGAGCAGGAGAGTTCTTTGCTGACTGCTAGCTCTCCGGAATCTCCTCTGGCAAGTTCAAACATGGCTGACACAGACAGCTGAGCTGTACGTCTGTTAAGAAGCAGACCAGAAGCAAATAGACATTAGCACATGAAACACATAGAAGACTTGTTGAACGATAACATTAGATCTATACAAATATTGGTAATTCTCAAGACATCAATCAGCAGATTCTATATCTCAAAAAAATATGATATAACAAAATTACAAATGCATGATAAAAATCTTGTCTTGTCTTCTTTGATATGCTAGAGCGCCGCGATGGCAGCACAGCCATAGCCGGGGTAATAATCTCCAAGTTTGGAAGCGCTTAGTGATTCTAATAAGCGCTATATACAAAAACTGAGTATTATTATTATATAACGTATACACAGAGTATGAATCCTAAATGAATCATGGATCCACTAATTATTTCTCTGTACATTCCAGAACTTAGGATTAAAACTGCAAATTTGAAGTGAAAGTAACAACATACCTGTTGCCATCTGCGCTTTTGACCAAGATGGCCGACATGACAGGCTGTAACCACTTTCTCAGCTGGGCTTGTTGGTCTTCGGTACTACAGTGTGAACACATCAAGAGAGTTCGTAGTACTCTCTGTTTGAAATCAAAGCACAGATAAAAAGTGAGTTCATCAATGCATTAGTGTGAATATACAATATACTTGTGTACAAAGTTTAACAAAATAAAGACATATGAAATACGACCCCTTGTACAAGGTTTGAGTGAGAACATATTTGTGCTTTAGAATGAAAATAAAAGACTATCCATACCAGATATGGCATTTTAAATGATCTCCATTTCAATGATCATTATGTATACTATCAAATTTCTTCAAACAAAAACAGATAAATATACCAAATTCATTCATACTGAGAAGCTAATACATCATACAATTTGTCATCATATAATTCTAGAGGAAAGAAAATTGCATCAATTATATAAAAATCTGGGAGACTGGCGAGAGCTAATACAAACTCTGCATACATCAAGGCAAATACTCGATCATGATCTTGTTTACGCGATATCAGCATCAAAAGCAGCGGCAATATGTGATATTTAAATGAAGTCATGGTGATCGTTATCATTACTCACCAATGCTGCTACATAAACTTTGTAGACTGGATCAGAACACGCCATGGCAACCATCATGAAGCCAGATTCCATGGTGATCATGTCTGCCTGGAAACACTGCTCACACGTCTCAACGTCGTGAGGCTCGTTCAGCAGGCCTTCCCTGCTGTGTTTCAGCTTCGACGCCAACTGCTGACTGAGCGAGTGGAGGGTGTTCTCACGGATGCCCCAGTCACGGGAGAACATGGCTTCGACGAGGCTGTTATCAAACGCCTAGAGGTAATGACGGTGAAAATGAGATATTAACATAAGAAATCTTAAAGATGTACAACATATATAATGACTACTGGAATTTCTCTCAATCCATAACTTCAAGAAGACTGGAAATAGATGTAAATGTAGCTCAAACAATTCCAATTCGCCCTATATTCCATAACAACTAATTCAGATGTATTATTGTTGTTGTTTTGTTTTGTAATCATCATCAACATCATCCTTATCATCGTATGCAAAAATAACGTCAATAATAATACCTTATGAGTTACAAGGAAATACACATTTAACCGGATATGCTAAAGACGTTGATAAGAGCAATTTGCTAATACTGAAAAAACATCTCTTGCTCTTAAGTCCTTGATTATCATCATTCATCATCAATACCTCTTTCCATCCCTCTTTCTTCTGCTGGAATGTCTGGAGTCTACTGCTCTCCGTGATGCCAGCCTCCTCTTCTACCGGTCCCTGCTCCGTGGAGGGATGAGGGGTGGATGATGCTGCCCCAGCTCCGGCCTGGTTCTCATGGGCGCAATCGGCCCAAATAGCTCGGCACAGAGGGCACACCATAGGCTCCTGTTGCCTCTTGCACTCTCCCTCCCCTAGAAAAAAATGGCAAACCAAGAAGGTGGTTTGGTGAAATCGGCCAGCATTGATGGTACAAGATAGTCTTGCCAAAAGTATGAAGAGTCAGGCTCAAGTAGCTAATGCACAAATTTTCTGGGTTCTGTGAGCAGCTATATGAACAGCTTAACTTCTATTACAAATAACATATACTTTTGACGCATTTCTATGATAGAGTACTATAACGATAAGTACACAATTTCTAAAAGGAGGCGTTTGAACTGTTCTTCCAGTTTTATCCATTAAAGGCTATTAGAAAACTTTGGTCCATGAAATGAGTTGAAAACATTTGAAGGCTACAGGTGTTCCTATAACACTTTTTTATAACTGAGGGTAAAGTGAGAGAAGGAAAGATATCAGTGTGGTACCATATTTTTGGTGAGTACTTACATATTGCTACACAGTGATGATGTAGCTTGTTGTGGCAACCATTCTTGCATTCCACTAGACTCTCACCCTCTACCATTTCAAGTAAGCAGATAGGACACAGGTCTTCATCCTCCCTGGACGGTCACAGACAAAACAAGCCAATATTGTTAAACATACATATTTACAAAAAAACATGGATTAAATGATCTATTTAGAGTCAGGAGGGTGGTAACTCTATGCAAAATGACATGATTTTATAATCTTACTAGCATAACCAATTGGATTATTTAAACTAAAAGTATAGTAAACAAATATATGCCTATTCTTTTCATCATACATGTATGTCTCTAAATGATTATGCTGATGAAGTGAATGAAGATACTATGTATACGAATGCAATACTTTTTTAACAACTTGTTCTGGAATACATTCTAACATTGACCTAAAAGTTGTTATGTTAACTTATACGTAATTTTGGTATTGTAGTCTACAATGATATTCCATCTTTTATCTTTGTATATATTGTCATCATGATGTAAATAAATGTCAATTCCTTTACCTTTGGTCACTGCTGCCTGTTGATGGGCATGGAGAGCTTGGTCGGGGAAGGTGCGATGTGGATGGACTCTGGGATGACCTCCGTGACCTTTGACTTGACTGACTAGGAGAGTGCTTTAATTTCTTCTTCTTCATAGCTTCATATTTGGAAAATAGCAACTCCACCTGAGGAAATAAAAATAGTATATTTTGTTTTATTTCTCCCGTATATATGAGAACACTCTTGGTAAGGTCAAACTGGTATGTATATCTTCAACTTTTGTCTTGATATAGTACACTAATGGATTCTCTCCCTCTTTCAGACTCAATATTTTTTGTTTATGTTTGCTTTCTTAACCTCCCTCCCCCTTCTCTCTCTATCTCTCTCTCTCTCTCTCTCTCTCTCTCTCCCTCCTCTTTCTAGTTTTAACTATCCCCTTCTCTTTTCTTCTTACATGTGCATTAACTTTCTCCCCATTTATCCTTTGTTTCTCCCTCTGTATCCTCAATATGAAAACTCCAATGTCGAAAATGCCTCATCACAATAAAGGAATCGTACATTTAACAACAGCATAACATCCTTAAGATCATACAACACTGATGCCTACCTCATAATTTTTCAGGGTTCTGTTCCACAGAAGGTTGTCATCCTCGGCAAGCTTGAACACTCGTAGCATGACAAAGAGCAGATGAACACAGAAGGGCCCCTTACCACAGTTGCAATTCTGAGAAAGAATGAGATCAAACATCATGATTATTATTATCATTATTACCATCATCATCATCATCATCATCATCATCATCATCATCATCATTATTATCATTTTTTTATTTTTTTAAATAATTATTACTATTATTATTATTACCATTATTATGATTATTATCATTATTATCACTATTATTATATCAAAAATTATTGCAAGCAGAATAAACGAACTTAGGTCTCTGAAATTTAGCATAGGTTATAAGTTATAAATATAAATATGAACACAATATTCTATTATCCTCTTCCAATTAATTTGGTGTATATAGTTGACAAAACAATAAAAAAAAAGTTATTGAAAGAAACTTGAAATTAAGAATTAAATATTGGGGGAAAACATGAACAAAGTGCATTTTTAAACATACTGCTTCAGCTCCATTATCATTTGATACCATATAACTTTCCTTAGGCATAGTGGTTATTACAAAATGAAATTTTGTCCTCGCATTTGTTGGCCTAAACACACTCCATCATAATATTTGATAATCCGTCACATCTTTACTTTCATTTCAAAAGCTATATATTGGAATTAATAATGACAACGTCGTGACACAGAACAGTTATCCATGACACAGAGCCAGGCGATAAAGAATAGATGCTCAAAATTTCCATATTTCATATTTGCAATAATGATTACTAGTACGTGTTGACACTGCGTCATCTGATGTGTACGCAGTGGTTCAAATTGGCAGAAATTGCTCTAAAATGCCCTTGAGATCTGAGCGTGGTCTGCTAGAAATGCGCACAAAATTAATTACAGTTGATATGCATCACGCCCAGAAGGATATGAACATAATAACAGAGCTGATAACTGATAAGATTATAATCCCTACTGGCCTTAAGCAGGCCTGCACTCAACGTGGAAGCCATATAGTCACTTTGGCATCCTAAATTAGATTTTTATTTTCTTGTTAAATCATGAGATCTGGAAGCCATACAAGGGGAATGTATTAAAGTAGAGTAGATAAAAATGACCATGGAATAAAAAGTTAACAATGAAAAAGAATACTTTGAAAGGTGTTTACTGGAATAGACCTTTTTTAGAATTGCAGTGCTGATATACTGTATGGGGCTGAAAATAATTAATCTATAATGATGTTATATTATTTTACTTGTATATTTATTTTTTTCTTTACAATCTCATTTCAGATGTTGCTTTCAATTACAAAATTATGAACATTAAAAAAATAGATTGGTGTAAATTCTAGCACTTTTTAAAAGAAATATAAACAGAGGTTATCGAATAGCATCTTTGTTCTTCACAATGTAAGCAAATCTACAATACTAGCACACCGATTTCACAATAAGGATTGATGATTTAAGATTTTAGATGAGAAAATTTGAAAAGAAATAACATAGAAATCTATTTAGTTTCTTACTTGTGACCCGATGGTGACCTTGTACTTGTGATCTGGCGAGTCTCCACCGATAAGGAACGAGTTGGGACCGCTCTGAGTGAGGAGGAAGAGTCTCGCGTGAAGCGCCCTCTCCACGCGCTTCTTCAGAACTCCGACTGCCAGCGTGAACAGACAATCGTTGTTTGGTGATGGCACCCTCCTGTGGCCGCCCGTAGGAGAGCCCGGTCTGGAACCCTGCGTGAATCAAAGAGAAAATATGCTCCAATCAATCACAATTGAAAAGTTGAAAAGTTAAAATGAAAGTATGACACAAATGCAAAAACAAATTACACACAATTAATCAAATAAGAAGAGAAAACTTTTTTTCGAACAAGGAAGCTTATAGGTGAAGAGAAAGACTGGAAAGGGATAATAAATTAGCAGTCTTGCAATATTGATGGAGAACGAAAGTTGAAACTTACAGAAGGAGAAACATATCCCCTGTGTCTTGGAATTCTGGGTGATGTGGGTGAAGCAACTCTGTTTACAACCTGAAAAGAAATGAAATATAATTTAGTTTCTTTCATACCATGGTAATGACTTAACTGTAAGTTCTATATCGTAAGAAAAGTAATGTTACATTTTTGTATCTTTCTGTAAAACTACAAGCTACTTTATCAGGCAAATTACATTACAATTGTATGAGAATCATTGCAGAAATGCAGATTTAGCTTCAACATGATTGTAACCTGTATGTAATGTACATATTATATTTCAAATATGTTCCCTTTCTCTGTACTCTCTTCTTTTATTGATCTTTCTCATTTTCTTCTCTCTGTCATTTTTTTATTTCTGTCATGCTCACCTTCTATCCCTCTCTCTCTCTCTTCTGCTCCTATTTCTTCTCTCTCTTCTCTCCTGTTTCTTGCTCAAAGATTTCTCCTCCCCCTTTTCTCCCTCTCTCTCTCACTCACACTCTCTCTCTCTCTCTCTCTCTCTCTCTCCCTCCCTCCCTCCCTCCCTCCCTCCCTCCCTCCCTCCCTCCCTCCCTCCCTCCCTCCTTTCCTCCCTCCCTCCCTCCCTCCCTCCCTCCCTCCCTCCCTCCCTCCCTCCCTCCCTCCCTCCCTCCCCCTCCCTCCCTCCTTCCTCTCTCCCTCCCTCCCTCCCTCCCTCCCTCCCTCCCTCCCTCCCCCACCCCTCCCTCCCTCCCTCCCTCCCTCCCTCCCTCCCTCCCTCCCTCCCTCCCTCCCTCCCTCCCTCCCCCACCCCTCCCTCCCTCCCTCCCTCCCTCCCTCCCTCCCTCCCTCCCTCCCTCCCCCTCCCTCCCTCCCTCCCTCCCTCCCTCCCTCCCTCCCTCCCTCCCTCCCTCCCTCCCTCCCTCCCTCCCTCCTCCCCCCCCCCCTCCCTCCCTCCCTCCCTCCCTCCCTCCCTCCCTCCCTCCCTCCCTCTCTCTCTCCCTCCCTCCCTCCCTCCCTCCCTCCCTCCCTCCCTCCCTCCCTCCCTCCCTCCCTCCCTCCCTCCCTCCCTCCCTCCCTCTCTCTCTCCCTCCCTCCCTCCCTCTCTCTCTCCTTACCTGTTTAGTGAAAGGTGACTCCTTGCCATGTGATGAAGGAGACTGTGACCTCTGAGGGAGAAGAGATCTGGGTCTCCTCGCTGCTGACGATGAGGATGCTGATACCGGTGGTGGGGGTGGGGTGGACGAGGCAGATGAGGACCCATCTACAGGTGATGGTGATGAAGGTGGTCTCGCAACCTATGCATCAATAAATGGGAAATATCTTTAAAGTGTTTGATAATATAATATTCATATCCTACCACCCTGTACATCATGCATGGATTGTAAACCTTATTTTCTTTAAGCTTATCTGCTTTAGGGAGGGAAGAAAGCTTAAATATTTTGTCCCTCATTTAGAATTCCCATGTGCAGTGAATGAAAAAAATGCTGCAAGTACACAAGCACAGGAAGTGATACATGTACATTCAATGTTGTGCATACTTGGAATGTAAATTCATTTTATCTAGAAATGACTATACTTTAATCACACTACACATTACATGTACATTCAAGAGGAAGAGTATAATGGAATAACATGAATAATAATACAGACTTTGTACTCATTAATTGGACCACATTTTCCACATCTGGTAATGAGTAAGGAGTATATTATGACACACAATTAGTTGCACACTTGAAATGAATCTCTTATCCCAAAGAAATAAAAATATTCCTACTCCCTATACAATTTATCTTCTAATTTCCCTCTTTTCCAGCTGCAGTCCAAGGCAACAGGACTTGCATCATTTCCTATTCTTTATTATAACTGCAAAAAGTGCTGGAAGAACACCTCTTTTGATTGCTTTTAATTTGCTCTGACGTAAGGTACAGATCACCTGCCTGCTAGTGCTATAACATGTATTAAACCCTATATTGTGCCAGTTGGAATAAAAATGCTTTTTTAACTTATGAGAGCTGCTTTTTGGGAGATTTAGATTTCCTTCAGGGCGATTTAAAATACATTTAAAGGCAATACATGTACAAACATTTAATTTGTAATTGTTAATGAACATGTTAAATAGTTGTCATGAAACATTTTCCTTTTTCTTTTTTAATCTTGCAAAAATCTATCTACCTTTGCTACATTGATAATAGGGATTTTCTCAAGGAATTATTTTTTACAATTTTCTTTTTTGGAGTTATTTCTAATCTTTGATTTTGTTTTCCTTCACATCAGTTTTCCAAATATTCATGTGTTTTTTTAATAAACAATTTAAATAGTTTTACAGAGTTACATCACTCACAGTTAACATGGGTTTTGTTTAGTAATTTAATTTCATTTATTATCATCATTATCATTATCTATTATTTTATTTTTTGCACCCCTGAAGAGATTTTGTTTTCCTTCACATCAGTTTTCCAAATATTCATGTGTTTTTTTAATAAACAATTTAAATAGTTTTACAGAGTTACATCACTCACAGTTAACATGGGTTTTGTTTAGTAATTTCATTTCATTTATTATCATCATTATCATTATCTATTATTTTATTTTTTGCAACCCTGAAGAGATAACAAAATCTTACCATTGGTCCTTTTGTTCTGGGGGCATCTCCTCCCTCTCTCCGTACCCCTGGCTTGCCCCTCAGCTTCTCCCTGATGGCATTCTTCTCCAGAGGGTCATCTAGCTTGGACATCCGCTTCATCTCTTTATCTGATGATGATCTGTAAATTGGCAACAGAAGATGAGAGTGAACCATGAGTATAAACAATTTAATGTTTTTCTTAATGGAGAAGGAAAATAAAATTGGAACACAAACCTGCACATTTAAAATATGAATATTACATAAGTTGTTAAACAAAAATGAAGAAGTTATAAAAAGACAAGTTTTGCACATTTACCGGTAGGCAAAACCAGCATTCCAAAAAATATAACAATTAGGGGAGATGGTACATGCATCTAAATTATCCGAAATCTAAGTACAAGTATACTGTTGTTTTGATTACTTTGAACTTTGTTGATATTTCGTTTGTTGTGGTGGTGGTGGTGGTGGTGGTTGCTTTTGTGTAGACCTACAGTATCATAACTATACATATTTTTTAATGTATCATTCAACCAAAGACACATAGACAAAGTCGATTCCACATTACCATACATGAACACAGTAGGTAGCCTCAAACATGCATTAATAATTCCCTTTAAAAAAAAATTACCATAAAACACAAAATTAATTTGAACGCTTTTCAAATAAATAATTAACTCCACGACTTTGACTCATCAGTGCTAAATACCAAAGTCAATGACAAAAGAGAAACACATTATCAAACAAAATGTCTAAAATCATAGGCGTTGACGAATAAGTCATACTTCATGATTAATGTGAGCAAGTTACAAAAACAGATCTCTTCTTCCTCGCAAACGGCGACTACATGTACATACTGAGGGGTTTCATACAAATCATACAGATATGATCTACCAATATGTACATGTATGCCTCTGCCAAGATCTAAAAATAGATACCCTGGTTACTATGACTACCGGTAAACTCCTATCAAATCAACAAACCGCTTTGTGTGTACACTGTACATGTAGTCTTTGTCGTAGTCAAATAATTCGCGACTTGTAGAGTACATGTAGGTATATCATTTTTATTCTTCTCCTGGCTAGTCGTCATTCACATTTAGAGCAGTGAAAAATGATTTTGGGTAACTGCATCCCAAATGATGTTGTCAATACTGGTATTCACTGTAACAGCCCTGTAATTAAACAAAATGTATATATAGCTCTTTCCAGTCACTAGAAGGGTCTGATAACAAACACTACCAATATTTTTATCGCGTGCCCCTCGTTAACAATAGAGACATCTGGCAAAGGCTTGCTTGAATTGAAGTGGTAAAGGTATTAATGACGTAGGCCTACACACCACACGCGACCGCATAGAGTGCTACTTGTGAAGACTTGTGAAGATTTGTATTTATTTGTAAAAGCCCCCTAGAGGAAAACATCTATGGGTGGAAATATCAGTGGGGAATTTTTGCTCTTTTACATGCTCTTGCACAGAATGCAAATTAATTTCTTTTCTGAAATCCTAACTTTCTTGGGGGTTTTAACATGTTTTTATGAACCCTTTCTCGAATGGATTATGCATGTATTTCTAATGTTTTCATTTCATACAGGTACATAATTATACAATTTAACACATGAGAACTTATGATTTCAAACTTTTTTATCTACTCAAGTATATCTGTTGTTGATGTTGTTCTACATTAGAAAACTTTACATAGACATACACTTTTCACATGGTATTATTTTCTTTAAAACCTTTTTAAAAACATGTGTCAGCAGATAAAAAGCATTATTTCTTATGTTTATTACCGGTAGTAGAGACTAGAGCATTATTGGTCTCTATGAGTTAAATCTCACCAGGAATACGTATGATTGAAATGTCATTGAATGTGATCTTCTTTGTAGATAGTTGTATCATATTGTTGCCTAGTTACAATGAATAATCCCTGACTGAATATCTCTGACACTGTTGCATATTCAAGATGTCAAGAATAAACGTTTATAGAAAGGAGGAAATTACAAGAAAGCAGTAAATGATAGTTTTGTTCTTACCGGTATCTCGTTTAGGGTTTCTATTGAAAAGAGATATTTCCTCCATACAGCTTATTGAATAGAGCTTCTTTTTGTGTGTGTGGCTTTCCCAGGTTAAACTATCTTCCTCATTTTTCACACTAAATGCTAGGAATTTCTGCTAATTATTGTCCAGTTTTCTATCATTTGCTACAATGCCATACAAATACTACTACCAGCATGCATGTTTATAGAGTATACCTTCTTTTGAGAGCCAGAGCCCTGCTGTACCGTATACATGTACTGTACATGTATCTGAGAGTCAAAGAGACATTAATGCCCTTCTGTATGTACATGTACATGTACATGTACATTTAGGCCCTGCATTTGTGATGTATACGTATGCACATAACCTGGAGAATATTTTTGTTGGGTTTGTGGTTCTACTTCACAAGCATCATTTTCTGATAAGCTCAATTAATTTCCCAAAATTACACAACATCACACAAAATTGATATGTATTTGTACATTTAACCAACACTGTTGTAAATGCTTGAAAATTTGAAAGCAACAGAAATAATTTCTGATTCCTCTTTTGTCTACACTGTAAGAAAGGAAGGGACAATATAAACAGCATCACCACATGTTTCTTTATTATTTCCCTTTTTTATTGTTTATTCATTTAGACTGGTCACTATCCATCCTCCATTCATTACCACAAACTATTTGACTGGGGCCTACAGCTCTACAAGCTTGCTTTCATGTAGGTCCCATCATATTTCTCTCAATTAAATCATTACTCTATATTGACCACTTATCTTTATGTTATTTACTCATGTATCATTGAAAAAACAACTTGTACTTTATTTGAAATGTATTACGTAACATGAGAAATATGAAAATAAATGAAATGAAATGAAAAAATGAAATATATTTATGTACTATACATGTATATGACTGCCCTGCAATACTACTGTATTACTCATACATGTACTAACAAAAGTACTTTACCAGGGGTAATCAAACCCCTATGCCGAGATGAGTCACTCATGTTATGGTAATGGGTATATAATCCAATCAATATGCAACTCAAGTGATCATGAGCGATCACTCAGGCAGTAATGGCTTTCATGCATGTCCAGTAATTATTTTATATTTATAAATGGATGTTCTGGGTAACGTACAGGGGGTTTTGCAGGCAGCATACAGTGCACTTTCTTTAAAATTCAATAACAAACTTTTACATAATGTCGTGTACGCCCTGCACATTTCTGACATAAAACTGTACATGTACATGCTGAACTGTAGTACATATTGATGACACATCCCTACATAAAAAGGAGTAATCATGCATGTGCACATACATGTGCAAATGTAAACGTACATGTGCATGGGCTTTTCTACCAAAACTTAAACAATTCCTTCTTTTGACAAAGCGTCACACCCCTCTCTTGGGAGATGAAGTCTAATTGTCAATATGATACAGAACTTTATTTTCATTTAGTGTCAATATACGATATAGCTTTGAAAAAACAATTGTGTCACTAGCGCAATTATGTACAACAATTATGTTGCCCCAGGAAGTTTCAGAACATGGGTCTACCAGTTGATACCCTTTTCATCAATTATCAATTGTTTATTGCAAATGGCTCTATATGCTGTACATACACACAAAATATCATGCCATGAATTCCATCATAATCAATATTCCACTGCATTTTACAACCTGTTTTAAAAGTTTATATAATTCATTAATTCAACTGAGTATTTTTCCATTTTTCAATGCTGTACATACATTGTACAAGTCCTTTGCATCTATCAAACTACTTACATGTAGTACAATTTTTAGCAGCATTAAATTTTTCTGAAGTATAGCCTGTCCCATTTAAAACAATACTCCTGACATCTGTACTGCACATATGGTACATACATGTAGGTCCTCATTATGTAGGCTTAGCACGCAATACACAATGTAGCCTGTAGGCATACATGTGTGTCTAGCTATACAGAACATGTACAGATCCTTATTTTGTTAAAGAGTAGAATAAAAAACAACATAACAACACCTGAATACATTTCAAATTACTGTAAGACACCAAACAAACTTACCAAACTCCTTTACAGTATCCAATGAAAACATATACATGTATATGTCCAACTTATATGTTACAAAATACCAAGTTTCCCATTCAGGATAGTAGCAAAGTTCTATCCAAGTTCCCTACACTGCTGTGCTATAAAGTACACTTTAACACGTATCAGTCTTCCTGTGTGTACACTAGGCCTAAAGTGCGTCAACGAAAGAACAATTGTGATCCGCTGTCCTAACTAAATCGTGTGTATAGCCCTGACTGCTTTCCAAACTCGAACTGCTCAACCGCAAATTACCAGTATCAAGAAAACCCCTCTAATGGACAGCTGTCGGATATAGTTTAGGCCTACAATTTACAAACTCAGTGAGGCATGTAGTCTACTACTAGTAGGTGTGGGTTGAGCTTGGATTGTTGTACTTTGATCTGAGCCGTTGAGTCAATGACACATCACTGTTTACCTTTTGTGTAGGAATGTAGGAAATGCATCTTTTAAATGCTGGTATTTGTTAAATTCTTACGTGAACTATGAAGTTGTGCAATCCTTCAATAAAATCCAGGGTATATACATGTAACATATTGTGAATCACTATTTAATTTGTAATTTGTCTTTTATATGTAACTTTCATCAATGATTTAGGCCCTTATGTAGCTCTAGACAGAAAGATAGTTTATTGTATTCCACAATATCTCATTTTACAAAAGAGTGTAACAACATAATATTGAAAAATGATTATAGTATACAAGTAGTATAGAATACTGGTGCACACTATTCAGAAACTTGTCCTTCAGTTAAAACTTAGGAGATTTAGTGGCGGAGCCTAGACAAAGCAGCGCTTGTTGTGGATAAGCTCTTTAAACTAGAAATGACATAATTAACTAAAGTTATTAGGTTTATAAAATACAAATACATGCTAAAACAGAGAAAGGAAGATTACAGGGATACATGGACCAATACCGGTACTCACAATTAACTACAAGACAAGGGAAAGGGGAGGCAATAAATGACTGCAGCATAGTGAAACAAAATTGTTTTTTGATGTAAATGTGGAACAAATAAACTTCAAACAATAGTACAATGTAGTTTGTTATCAACAGGGCTTAAATTAATCCAAGGCCACCAAGGCCATGGCCTTGGATGCCCCTTTGATTGACCTCAATGCCCCTCTCATTGGCCTTGGAGATTTTGTGTGCCCTTTCCAATTCTTCCCATTGGTGCTGTAATATAGGAATGTGCCCTACAGAAAAGCGGCCTTGCCCTAAAAATGTTGAAAATTAAGACCTGTATCAATATGAGTAGAATATATATGTACATGTTGGCATGGCCATATCATTATTTACTAATTGTAATCAACAAAATCCCCTCCCTCCCTTTTTTGTTCAGCCTTATCCTTTTCCTTTCTTTTTCAATAGACCTACTTTGTAAGTCCATGCTTTTCCCCTCTCTGTTTCCTTTACCATGAAAGTGAAACAAAATCTACTCCAATTTAAATATATGGACTTTGGGGAATACAAATTACTAGCAATGGTGGACTACAAACAAACACCCCTCAAAAATGCCACAAACATCACAATCACGCCTTCCCTTTTCTTGTATAGCAACAGCATTATCAGTGTTGCTGGGTTGGAGGAAAAGAGCATTTACGACAGCAGAGATTAACATACAAAGGATGTCTTTCTTCACCCCATGTCTACATTGAAAAAGTCAGTTGAATAACAAAAACTCATGCCAGAAACCCTATCCTGCACTGGTAACAAATAACAAAAGAGACTTGTTGTTTTCAAGATATAGTACAATCATGGTAGGGTCCATGGTACAATGGATGGACAATTAAGTCAGAGAGAAGCCACATCAGAATGTTATTAAATGGGGATACATGTGCAAAAAAAACATTGAAAAATTATAAGACGTAAAGTTCCTGTTTATAATGTGATGTCAAAGCTTTTTCTAGGGGATAGGAGCGCACTTGATTTGTTTAGTGAAATAAGATGTACTGTACTATATTTTAAGTTTAACCATTTTACAAAGTATTTGCTGAACTACAGTTACAAGTACACTATACTGACTCTACTGAGTATAAGCAGGAGATGTTTTAGAATTTATACAATCTGTATATATTTATTTTTTTGGGGGGAGGGGGTTGGGCTCACAAAAATGGGCCTTCATCTTCCCTTAGCCACCCTCTAAGACCTGCTACTACATGTACATGTAGATCTTATGATTATTTTATCATTTTAAGATACATGTAGATTTGTTAGCATATGAACGTTTAAGTATGGTTGGTGTGCAAATTAGTACAGCAGCGAGGTCAATGAGTTTCATAAGTCCCTGGACATACAACTGATATTTGTTGCTCCTCTCCTGTAACTGCAAAATCTTGGGACAATAATTATTTGAACCTGAACAGTTTGACCTTGGCCTTGCAATATCTAGGGTCATGTGTACTCAAGCCATACCAGTTCAAGTGGCCAAAGAGACTACTTAGCCTACATCTTGGATTGTCGTCCTAACATATAAATATTCGGCGAGGGACTTTGTATCAACGATAACTGATCACATCAACATCAAGGTGGACTGTCCTACATTTGAACAAGAATTCCAGGCCTGCACAAATAGTGAATCTTTCATGGTATCTGACCATTTATACCTGATTAAAGGGGAAGTTTATTAGTCCACCCTGATATTAAGTTGATTTTAATAGAAGCAGACAAATGAGAGAAGCAGGTAGTATGTGAAAGTTTGAACAAAAAGCAATAAAAAATAAGAAAGTTATGAATAATTTAAGGTGAGATCAATCAAACACAAATAAGCAAATCTGTGGCATTTCTTGCAAGCTTTCCGGTCTCCTCCCATTCGCCCTGTACTAAAAAAACTTCAAAAATCTATGTTTTCCCTTAAGAAATTTCCAATCATACATTCACCCTAAATAACAAATATGTTTTTATACAATTCCTGAACGAATAACTAAGAAAATGAAAAATTATGACATTTTCTGTACAGAGCAAATTTGAGAGCAGCTTGCCACAGTGTTCCCAATTTGTGTTTCAATGTTGACAAAATTACATGTAACTTCAAATATCCATAACTTTCCTATTTTTAATCAGATATTGCTTAAACTTTCCTTCTTCTTCTATTGTTAATCTTCAAAGGGCTATGCAGTCTATCACAAAGATCAGTAGATATTGAAGGCTTACCAGAAGATTTTCACTAATTTGTTTCTCTTGTTTTTCTGCTTTATAGCCAAGATAATATCAGGGTGGACTTCCCTTTAAAATCAGATAAATAGAAGGGCTACATTGTCCGTCGCCTAGATACATGGAGACATAATTAATTATACACTTACTTACTGTTAAACTTACATTGTGTTGTTAACTTGTTAACCTTTGCCTATGGTTTAGAAATGTCTATTTTTGGTAAATTAGCCCTACATTCCTAAGAGGTAAAAATTATAAAATTAAACTATAATTGACGCAGAATCTACATCAATGACATGGTTGGGAAAAATAAAGTGTACCCCCCCCCCCCCTCCCTTTTATAAATGTTGCATCCTTTTCCAACATTTCACCCCATTATAATTTTCAAAAAAATGAAGATGCACAATGATCTATTCACTATCAAAATAAAAGAGTAGCAGTGTAAATATTGATCAATAAAAAGATAAACATAACAAAAAGAGATATTGAAACAAAACAAAACAAAGCATTTTGAAAATAACACAAAAAAGTTACATACTAATAACTAAATATACAAAAGCATATTTCAAAGAATGTGGTTGTGACACGATTTTAAAAAGCAGCAAAGACAAAGTTAATGATAAATGAATCCCATGAATGAGACTATAAATTCAAATTCATATTCAATGCATCATGTAATACAAGCAATGAGTAAATCCCAATACTTCTCAAGATTAAATTTATTGTACTTTTGTTTTTGAGACATGTTGTTTGTATTTTGTGTGATTCAGATATAAGCCAGACGGTAAACCCTGCAAAGTATGAACAAAATTGAATTTACCCATTTTGTTTAGGCTCAACTGAAGCAGGAGTTCCCGGGAGAGGTTTAGCGATCGAGCCTCCATCGGCATCAGTAGGTGATTTCTGAGAACCCGAGCTTCCACTCCTCCTGCGATTGCGAGAACGTGATCGCTCCCCCGATCGTCTGCGAGACTTGCGAACGGCACCACCAGTGGCTCCAGAAGATGAGCCTTCTCGAGTTTCAGGTGTGCAATCGCCATGTTTTGATCGCGATTTGTGAAGTCTTTGTTCTCCGGTTTTTTCCATGATATAAATCCAATTTTTGAGGACTGGTTCACGATGAGAAAGTAATCATTACAAGAAGAAAACAAATCACGCAGCTGAATCAGTTGTCAGGCCGTCGCCTGTCCTCTCAAATTTACTTCGAAATTCAGATTTCGAACGACCACCTGTCCGTCGGATTTCCCAATCTTTTTCTAGTTTTCGCGCTTAAATGTTCACGTGGTTTCACGACCCCGCGATCACAATAGCAATCTTCATTTACACTTTGTACAGTTGAAACCACATTTCTGCATCAGTCGTTTTTATGGCGAGAATATTACCAAGGATTTTGCCCAGTAACAAAGTCCAAAACTTCTGTGTCGCCTACGCATTCAGCACGTAAGTCAGTTCGCCAGCGAGCGAGCTACCAATGAGGAATGTTTACAGTAGAAACAACAATAGGCGGCGTGGTGATGACATCATCAGGGTATTTCTGTTGGTAGAAAGCTCCTTTATCGCGCGAGGGGTGGTCAGCGTTGCTTCTATTCAAGACGATTTTGGGAGGGGTCTGCGCATGTTTCGGTGAGTCATCACAAAATACAATAATCAATAATTCAATAAATATTTCGCCGTCGATCTCTCTGTCATTGTAGACATGAATGTTTAAGGAGGGTAAAGATGATTAATGTTAAGTCACGTCATAAAATTTCACTTTGTGGGTAAAACATGAAAAGGAAGAAAAATGAAATTGCTGATGGGAGTTGAGAGAGAGAGAGAGAGGTCACTTTAGTATACGACATATTTTTTATTTCTTTATTTTTTTGTTTCTTTATTTTTTTATTTAGGTTTCATTTCCACATTAATAACTGCGTATGAAAAGAATTTACAAAGTAACGCATATACAATACAAGGTATACAAAACATGTACATAATATTAGATACGGTAGATAAAACAGTTATAACAATTTTATGCAATCATCATTAAATACAAACTGATGCTAACAATAATCTGGCATCTGCAGTAATGAGGAGGAAAGAACCTTGAAAGCATTATGCTTGTAATTAAGGTTCCCTTTACATAACACGTTTGTTTTTGTTTTATATATTATCTATAATATATAAAACAAAAAAACAAAACAAAAGAAGAACAACGGATGTGTGGTGCTGCCAACCAAGCAGTGTCAATAACGATGGTCTCCATCATGATGACCTTCTTAAGCATTTTCATACTGAAGAAGAAGTTTATGTTTCAAGGGATATTTAAAAGTTTAAATTTCAAAACCATAAAGCAAGAAGGGAAATTCTGAAAATACAATGACCTAAGTGTATAATCTATAAAGGTTCTAGTAATTAGTGTAGTAGATCTAGGCCGGTTTTCTTTATTAAACCCTCGATCATGAAAATTTTGCGTGGGGGTCTACAGAGTATTTTTAAATATATCGCATCACATTAATAAATTGTAACAAATCCCCATGGAGATCTGCTCACAATTTCCCTTTGTATAGTTGCATAATTACTCCAGAACGGGGACAACTCGCGTTCAAAAGCTAAGAGCCACCCCTATCACGGAATGAAATCGCCCTGTATCAATACCAATACCACACGTACACACCAGCAGCACCGTACTGACAGGTGTACTGGACTCAACATGGCCACTGCCACTGAACTGTTGTCGTTGACAACACCAAGCCATTTGTAAGGGCTCTGTATAGCTGTACACCGTACATGGATCCGGATCGTATGCACGGTATTTTCGTAACTCTATCCACCTCACATTTCCGGCTATTATGAGCTATAGCCGTGGTGTACGTACGAGCTGATCGGATTAAAAACAAAAAAAAATCAAGAGGGCCAGCCCGCTGCGGTAGCCAAGCAAGCGGCTACGTACACATTGTTCGTATAGATCTGTGTAGACTCTAGATCTACATGTAGACTGTGTCTGACTCTGAGACTGTAGTTAAACAACATAGATTTCTAGGTCTAGATCTGGGTCACACGATAAATGAGCAACTTTGACTTTTTACTAGTTAGCCTACACTCTACAGCACTTCCATTTTGTTTGTGAATTATGGACTGAGGTACGTGATAACATTAACAATCTTGCATTTTGGTGGTAAGTTTTCACTTTTTCTCTTAAACATTTTGATCTCGTCCTCAGAGTCAGAGATTGACTTAAATGTATAAAAATTTAGACTTAGAGAATCAAGTAGCATTAATTGCATCATCATGAGACATGACATGAGAGTTGAGACTTTAATTTTATAAATCTTAAGTTGGATCTAACTAGGCCTAATTCTAAGAGTAAGAAGAAAGTAGATCTAAGACTGACTCGAGGTCGAGGGCACAAATGCACTTTTGCACTGGGTGCCTATAGGGTCTAGTAAAAAAATGTGAAGCCAGCGAGTCTGCACATGCACAGGCCAAGTTTACTCTGAATCATGTTTGTCGGGACAGTTGATTTAATGTTTACCAGCATTTTTAAGAAAATCCTAGCTATCGCGGATGCCAGATACATGTAGCAATATGCATTCCCATGATGCATTAGGCCTCCAATACCTGAGCAATTTTTGTAGACACACTACCAATTACCTTCCAGTGATTCTATCATTACCAGATGTAGATCTACTGAAAAACTTGTATCTGTCATCCAAGTAATCCATCTTGCTTCTTCAATAATTTGATAGGTGTAGTGTGGGTGTATAATGTGCACATTGCTTCAAGGTGAGAACATACATGTACATGTAGTTCATGGCTTTGCTTCACGCCAAAATTTGTCAAGACTGGACACTTACACATGTCGACATGATCTTAACCAAAAAGACTGAGAAGAAAATTCAGGTCTAGATGGTATGATTAAGCCAGACTAAGACATTTATAGATCTCTAGTCTAGATCTATGCTGGTTTATTTTTCAGACATTTTTTACCATTTCATTTAAAATTTGTGTGTTTACCCCGACACAAGAACTAGCCCGTAATACCCTCATTTTAAAACTAATTAATATGTTTAAAGACTTAAATTACATAAAAATTAACAGAATTCTGCATATTTTTTTATTTGAATTCTTTCTACACAGGACTACATTGCTTCATGGGAATGGTGAAAAGATGGGACATTCAGAGCAATTGAGTGCTAGAACCTCCGTCCTCATCCAGAAATGAAATGCCTCATCAGTTATCTCGTTTATAGATCTTAGAGGAGAAAACCAGTGAAGATGACGGAGGATAAAACTCTCTTTGTGTATGATTACGTCAATCTGAAGAACAGGCAGCTTGTTCGAAAAAATGGCAAGGTACGAACAAGTACTGTTTATTAAAATTAAGATGATTAAAGTTATCATTTTGTATATGTAAATATTTTGTAGTTCAATATAATGATAATGGCTATTTATATAGCGCTGTTTTTCGCCAGGTTCTGACACTCAAGGTGCTCAACAAACAAATCGACTTAATCTAAAGTAAAAATACATAATGCAAAGAATTATACAAACAAGGGGTGAACAATCTTAAACACAGAATAATACTGTAAGTGAAAGTTTCATGTGTAAGTCAGTCATGATTGTATTAATTGACAATAAAGGGAAATTACTGGGGATTATTTAATTGGTTGAAATCATGTTGACCTACTGTAGTATCCTACTGGAAATTGCAAGCTCCCCTCTCATTTGCCCTGTAATTAGAAAAAAATTAAGAACTTTTTCAATCATACATTCCTAAATGCAAGTATGGCAAATATGTGTTTATACAACCCCTATATGAAACAAATCTATTCCATCATCAAAAGCTAAAAAAATAAAAGTTTATGAAATTTTCTGTACAGATCAAACTGGAAAGGAGTCCGCAAAATATGTCAGTGTTGCCAATTTGTGTTTCACTGATTCATAACTTTCATATTTGTTAATAGGATATTTTTCAAACTTTCACTTACCTGTATTTTTTTCTCTATTTTTTCTGCTTTTATTTTAAAGATGGGCTTCCTCTTTAAATGAGTTATTACTTATTACTGACATAATCATGCATAAATTTCACCTTTATTTTAATGTTTAATACAAGAATACATTACCAGCACTGATAGTATTTAGGGTGAGTAATGTTGATTGCATAATTATAAAGCTAGCAAAATTTCCCTTTATAAAAGCAGGCTACCCATTTTAAAAGTTCCCAACATTTTTCAGCACTCAAATGTGCACCTTTTAGAGCTTCTTCATCAATACATTCTAAAATAAATTGTGGTTAAGTCCCATTTGTCTACTAGCAGTACATGTACATACAGTACTTCATAGAAAGTTAAACAAATTGTGGCTAAATCTTGTTTGTCTACAAGCAGTATATGCACATACATTCATAGAAAATTATGTAAGAAAATAATAGTTTTTAACAAGCCTTTGAAGTGACAATACAAGACAAGCCTTGGTGCAGCGAAGTGATCACTGTGGCTTTTGTTTGGATTGAAAAGAGAATTTCTATTAACATGGCTGCTGCTATTGTTGTTGGAAAATCGTTATTTTGAGGTTTAAAATTAATCAATATCTGTGATCAGGTATATTGTGCAAACCTTGCTTCTGAAATGGCTGGTGATTGTTTACAACCCCTATTTTAGTAGAATAGTGAGAAAATGAGTCCTGTTTGGAGTATATGTACATGTATAGCATTGACTCGGTTCTCGTCTTTAATTTAAAATTTAAAAAATTCATTTGATGAGAAAGTAAAAAGCAGTTCAAATGAAAAAGCTTGCATTGTATGAAACATTGGACAAAACTTGCATAATGTAGCACAACATCAGGGAGGTGTTTCACAAAGATCCTAAGTCGAACTTATCTCTACGTTGGACTTAAAAGTTATGGAAAGCCATTAGCATCCTTGAAAATATTTTGTAAAAGATATTTTAAAAGCATAAAATGTTGATTCAAATCATTCATATTTTCTATTATCATGGGAGATTTCATGTTCTTGATGTGGAATTTATGGAAAGTCTAAAATACTTGTTTTTTCGCTTTTGAATATATTTTATTTTAAGGCTACAATTGGCTCTACATAACTTTTAAGTTCAACTTAGAGTTCAGTTAAGTTCGACTTAGAATCTTTGTGAAACACCCTCCTAGTCAAAATGCTATCAGTTATATGTAGAAAGCTGAAAATCGCTGGAGATGGTTTCGGAATAAGCAGTACAAACCATTGGACTTTGTACTCATTATTTCTGTTTTCTTCTTTATACCGGTAATTGAATGTAAATCAATTTTCATCAGCATCATTATTGAATGATTATTATCATCTTAATAATAGTTATCCTTATTACAATATTACTAGACGACTTTATTAATCATTAATACTAGTCTGGTTTTATTGCCATTTTTATCATAACTGTTATTTTCATAATTGATTATGGTATGTTAGTATTACCGGTAGTGATAGTTTTCATCGTCACTACAACAACAATGTTGCCCACAAAGTTAAAATACTTTTTTCTTAACCTCTTCTCATTAGGTGATTGTGACAATTTTTATGCCTCCGCCACCGAAGGTGGTGCCGGAGGCATCATGTTTTCGGGTTGTCCGTCCGTACGTCCGTCCGTCCGTACGTCCGTCCGTCCGTCCCGTTTGACCGTTATCACAATATCTCAAGAACCATTTAAGATTTAAACTTAAGACTCGGGAATAGTATTTATCACCATAGGAAGACGATCTGATTAGATTTTGGAGTACGTAGGTCAAAGGTCACAGGTCACAGAGGTCAACTTATGAAATTCCTTGTATTGAGTTTGTTAGCGCGATATCTCAAGAACCATTTGAGATTTAAACTTCAAACTTAAGGATAGTATGTATCACCATAGGAAGACGATCTGATTAGATTTTGGAGCACGTATGTCAAAGGTCAAGGGTCACAGAGGTCAACTTATGAAATTCCATACATTGAGATTGTTATCATGATATCTCAAGAACCACTGGAGATTTAAACTTCAAACTTAGTGATAGTGTGTATTACTATAGGAAAACAATCTGATTACATTTTGGAGCACGTAGGTCAAAGGTCAAGGGTCATAGAGGTCAACTTATGAAATTCCATACATTGAGATTGTTATCATGATATCTCAAGAACCACTGGAGATGTAAAAACTTCAAACTTAAGGATAGTATGTATCACCATAGGAAGACGATCTGATTAGATTTTGGAGCACGTAGGTCAAAGGTCAAGGGTCACAGAGGTCAACTTATAAAATTCCATACATTGAGATTGTTATCATAATATCTCAAGAACCACTGGAGATTTAAACTTCAAACTTAATGATAGTGTGTGTCACCATAGGAAGACAATCTGATTAGATTTTGGAGCACGTAGGTCAAAGGTCAAGGGTCACAGAGGTCAACTTATGAAATTCCATACATTGAGATCGTTATCGCGATATCTCAAGAACCACTGGAGAATTTTCACTTCAAACTTAATGATAGTATGTATCACCATATCATAATATCTCAAGAACCACTGGAGATTTAAACTTCAAACTTAATGATAGTGTGTATCACCATAGGAAGACAATCTGATTAGATTTTGGAGCACGTAGGTCAAAGGTCAAGGGTCACAGAGGTCAACTTATGAAATTCCATACATTGAGATTGTTATCATGATATCTCAAGAACCACTGGAGATTTAAACTCCAAACTTGTTTAAATTGCTCTATGGCGGAGGCATCATTTTCGACTGCGCGCAGTCAAAATTCCATCTAGTTTATCTTAGAACTTTGAAGATTAATTTAAAGAGGCACAGAGATTGATCAGTAATGTTCTGAGAAAATAATAAATGTTATGTATTAACAATAAACAAATATTTTCTGAATCCCTTCATGAAAAGCTAAATACAAAAATTATTCCAACATTATGGGCGACAGCGTATCTAAATAACATGATCATTATTATCATTATTATTTTCATCATCTTCAGAAACGTAGCCTGGGTGACGTGAACAGCAAGTATCGTTACCATGCCCCTCAGCAGACGCAGAGCGTGATGGGCTCGCTCATCAGTCTGGACTTCCCCGAGACCAGGGCCATCAACACCAAGTCAGCCGATGCCATCATCTCAGACCAGAGCCAACAGATCAGGAACACCTACCGCAAGACGTTCAGGTACGGGAGAAAGCATCATTGTCTTGCTTTCGTAGAACTCTAAATATCAGAAATGTTAATAGAATAATTGTTTTTAACTTTGAACCGAGGTTATTTTGTAAATAGTATGTTATGTTGAAACCACAACCTAGCATGCTATCAGACCATGGGTTGCTTTCAGTAGAATTAATTGTACAGTCATAGAAAACAGCATGTAGCCTTATGATTTTATGAAATAAATGTAATTTTAATAGTGCAAAAAGGGGGGGGGGGGGTACTGTTCCTTGACACCATCATATATTACCCCCCCCCCCCTCCTCCCCAATGACTAACCAATTAAAGCTATCTGAAACTAAGGGAGAAAATAAAGCATAGGCTTTAAAAAAGAGGGAAACTTCTGATAATTGATTTGAATTAGTATGTATCTCTCATAACATATTCTGTGCCTTTTGCAATCTTACGTTTGTCTTACAAGATGTTCAAAAAGGAATCTTTCAAATGTTTCAAATGAATGAGAAATTGAGCAATCTGGTGGTGTACTGGCCCAGGTATAGACATGTGCGAGACTAGCTCCCACCCGCCCCCCCCCCCACTCAGTGTTATTTAGGGTATGCGCATGCATGTTCCCTCCCTTTGAAAGCCCCCCCCCCCCCAAGTCTGGTGTGTAAAGTCGATACAGGCCGGATTTTTGTGTATTATACGGGTCAGACTTTGTTGCATGAAAATTACCCCTATACCAGAGATTTTGGGAACACGAATGCGGTCCCTTCGACCCCAGAGTGGGGGGGGGGCAGGAAGCTAGCTGCAGGTGTCAGTGTTTGATTGACATAATGTTTGGCCTTCAGTAGAATGCCTTCTAAGTAAAAGAATGCACCACAAAAACCACAAGGACTTTAGATGGTTTCAGGTGCAGCTGAAAAACATAAACGAAAATACAAAAACAAATTAAAAAAAAAAAAAATTCTTGATTGACATGTACATGTATATTCCTTATTGGTTAATTAAATGTCTTATATTTTGTTTTAGACATTTCATTGATTATTTAGTGAGCATTGATGTAGTAACAAAAGACTTGTATACATGCAAATGTAGGCCTTATTGTTAAAATGTGATGAAGGTAATAGCAAAAAGTATGTTTGTCAGATATATCTGTATACTGATATTAGGTGTACCCATCTAAAAAGCTCAGTTCCAAATTTATTTATTGTTTAGTTTCAAATAATGTTGGCATGACATGTTTATTATCTGATAAATAGTCTATTCAGCTGTACTTTCTCTATTGCATTTCTGAAGGGTGAGCCATGGCTCTTTGTCGACATACATATACATGTCATTTGAAGACTGAACAATAGATGGCAGTATTTATGTGTAGTGACAGAATAGCTTTGACTAGATACGTTCTGAACTTTAATGATATCATCTCTCTTGTTGTATGTGCTAGGGCATCAACGCTGGATGCATGGAGTAAACCTGAGCCATCCCTTGATAACAGACCTTATAGCAGTTTAGGTACGTGTGATTTGCATCATGCTTCATGGCGAGCAGTATGAAAAAATATCAACTTCAATTTCTCTCTTTGTATTTTAACTCTTTTTCATTACCGGTACCCATCATTGGTTCTAGTTGCAACTCTCTATGTTAATATCTCTCTCTCTCTCTCTCTCCCTCTCTTTTATTAAATCTTTTGTATATGCCACACAAATTATCTCCCTGTTCCACACTGTATTTATCATGGAATAGATATAGCTGCACGATTATTCAACTGTTTCCAGGGTACGACCAATCTGTATATACAGGTATTGAAAGGATTGTCATGCATTACCACCTTGAACATGTACATGTATGTCTCACTGTATCTTTTGGTCTCTTACTCCCTCTTTCTCTCACTCTCCCTATGTTCCCTCTCTCTCTCTCTCTCTCTCTCTCTCTTCTCTCTCTCTCTCTCTCTCTCTCTCTCTCTCCCCCTCTCTCTCTCTCTCTCTCTCTCTCTCTCCCTCTCTGTCTCCCTTGTCCCTTCCCCCCTCTTTCTCTCTCTCTCTCTCTCTCCCCTTCTTTTCTCTCTTTCTCCCTCCCTCCCTGCACTCTAATGCCTACTATATAATAATAATAATAATAATAATAATAATAATTGATTCTTATTGAGCACTACTACAAACAAACTGATCAGAGTGCTATACAACAGAAAAGAAACATACACATCATAACAATTAAACAAGGAACAGTAATCAAGATATTATGAACAAAAAGAAAATTTAGCTACTCAAAATGTACATTATGGATTCACGATGGAAAGAGTTAGGTTTTAAGTTTCTTATATCACCTCTTTTGCCTTTGATTCTCCTCATATTGTTAATGTTTATCATTTTAACATTATTACTGGTAACACTGAAAGAAAAGGAATTAATTAGACTGATGGATTTCTTTTAAAAACAAATTGTTTCCAGTTTGAGAGTGTCATGAATTTTAAATAATGTAAATGTTTTTTCTTCTATTTATTCAGAAAATCGACCCCAGACTGCCCCTGACTTATTGCAAGATCTACAGCCACAGGTTAATAATAATAGAATAGACAACAACAACAGCAGGCCTCACACGACAGGTAATAACATGACTGCAAAACATATCTTAACTTAGTCCGACCAACAAGGCCAATAAGGACAACCAAAAAAAGATGTTGTAATTGCCCTTTAGATGCCAAAACATGGACCAGTCGGAAATCTTTCCTCTTTTTTTTTTTTTTTTTTTTTTTTACTCCCTCTTTGGGCTTATATTTTTCAGTTTTCTAAAAAACAGTAAAAAAAAAAATGTAAAAGCCGACCATAGATTTCAAGATTTTTGGGTCAGTCACAAAGGGCAATACAACATTTTTTTTTTAGGCTTAAGTTTGTTCTTTTCATAGTATCTTTTCTTAACCTTTGATTTTACGAAAATTTATTTTAAATTTATTTTTTGCTTTAATATTGTACTGAATTTTATCTCCATTTCTAATACCGGTATATGATTAGGCTTAGTATGGTTGCAGTTTTTTTGTTGCTATTAATCAACTTCTTTGTCCGTTGGGATACCATATAGCATTTTTTCATTAGTGATATATAGGTCATATTGATTTTATGACAAAGTGCTGTTTCCCCTGTCTTGCGTTGATTTTAGTTTCTGAGCAGAGAAAATATTTTCTAATTTCCTTTTTTTCCTACCGGTAGTTAAATGTTTACCCTTTTTTTGTACAGGATTATCTTGAATTGAAAATCCAAATTTAACTTTTTCGCTGCATACGATGTAGACTGGCTGAGCAAGTAAGTGATTTTTAAAAGATAGCATTGAACAAGGACCTAATAAAGTTTTCACCAGAGGAAAATACATGAGGTGAACCCTTAATTTCTCTCACATGGAAGATAAAAAGTTTCTTTATGGCTCTATTTTCAGAGATGCCAACCAGTACGATTAAATCGTATTTAGTACGATAATAAGAGTGAAATACAATCTTAAAATCTTAAAATACGATTATTCCAACAACAAACAAAAAAACTTTTTTGTTAAACCCATATAAACAGCGTAATCACATTAAAAAACATGTACAAGTAAACCCCTGCAACCCCAACTAAAACTTTGCTTTACAATTTTCTGATTAAATTTTGATGAAAGAGCAAACATTTTACTTGACCGTACTTACCAGGAAAACATTTTTCTGAAATTTTACTGGCCCGGGCCGACGGGCCAGTGGTAGTGTCGATTTTTCAGGTTTTGGGGGATACTCGGTCTGTTTTATTGTGTCAAGAGGTTGGCATCTCTGTATCCTAAGCTATTCTTCTATTTCGTATTATTACCTAGTCCTCTCTGATATACAAACTAGGAAATTTTCCTCCAGTCACAGAATGATTTAAACATTTGTATATGTACATCCCCCCCCCCCCCCCCCCCACACACCCCTAGGGAACCGCACCCCGTCCCGGAAGCCTCCCCACCCATCCGGCTTCATGGTGGTCAAGATGAAACCCGACGGTTCGGTCAAGAACATGGGCTTCAAGAGCGTGACCCAAGAGATACGAGAGTGGTGGGAGGAGGATGATAAGAGACAACGGGACAAAGCACGCAAGGCACAAAGCCAGAACTCGAAGCGCTACGACTCGTTTGCAGGGCAGTGGCTCAGCTTTGCAGGAGAGAACGAGGAATCCGAAGGAGTCATAGAGGCGTTCACAGGTGAGAGCTTGGGTAAAGTGTACATGGAGAAGAAGGGGTGGGTGTATGATGAGGAGCGGGAATTTGTGCCAACCGCACAATATACGATTTGACTGCAATCCAACCGTGAAAGAATTTGCAATATTTTTGCATATGATGTGGACATTCAAACGTCCAAGTTCTTAATGATCAAGGATCTGAAATCTGATACCATGAATCAAATTAAAAATTTCAGTGGTTTTCAAGCTTCCTTGGAGGAGAAAAAATGCTGAATCAACTTGGATTCGTAGTGATGTCAGACCCCTAGTGTGATTGTGTACGATTTGAAGCTGGTTCGGCTTTTATTTCTTTACAGTTGTCTTTCGATCAAGTTTCAACAAGGTACCTGACAAGATTTGTTTCTTAAAATGCCATGTGACTTGGTGAGAGCTCCTGGAGCCCAAACCAGGAGAATCATTTTCAAAGTACTTTTGAAGCAAATAGGACTGTCATATCAAGATGTAATTTGTGCTATATAGTGGAACATACTGCTTCTACATGTAAGATTTCTAACATTTTTAAAGCCATCTTGCAAGATGAATACAATATATTGTAGAGGTGCGATGGCTCAGTGGTAGAGCAGTGGTCCCGAAACCAAGTCGATGTGCTAGTGCCCTTTGGTAAAGCAGTAATCATCATTACCAAGTCCCTTGGAGAGGCTTTAAAGCTGTCGGTCCCCTTGTTGCTTATTTACAAGCATACACATGCTTTTTTAATTAGCAGTCAGCTTAAACAAACAACTTATTTAATTTGTATATTTTTGTATTTCATTCTGAGTTTCAGGCAAAGTCGCCAAGGATGAGTTTTACAACATCGAGAGCCGAGTCGGAGCCAGCGTAGCCACCCAACTGAAGAATGGCAACAAGGTCAGGGTAGGGGTCAACGGCACTCTCCAGTCCAACAGTCTCAGGGTCAAGAAGTGGAAGAATGACCCAGAGATGTAAGTTTGACCTTTTTTATTTCAGGGCCCCGTCTTACAAAGAGATCGTATCAATCGCAACTATGTACATTAGAGATAAGGAGACTGCAAACTTGTGATTGATTGGATCAATTGCAACCATTTGTAAAACAGGGCCCTGATCTAAAGTAATCACTCCCCTTCTAGTATGTGCACCTACTCAAAATACATGAATATTTTATTTCTGTTGAACAAAGCAAGTCTTTCAACAACTCCATGTATCCCAAAGATTCTACAAATGTAACCCCCAAAACAGGGATTCTTGAATGACAGCTTGCAAAACAGTATCAAGCAATTAATCATCAGGTTTGCCACATATCATGAGGAAAAGAAATTGAGCCTGTGGTTGTCCTTCAAACGTAGATCCAATGAAAAATATGACAGTAGCACAGAATCATTTAATGCAAACACAAGATTATTAAAATGCATTTATATGTCCTTGCATTTTTTTTCATCTCCTTGTTCTTTCCTACCCTTCCAGCAAGGATAAGACCGTTGAAGACATCTTTAGGGAAGCCCGAGCCAAGGCACCAAGTCCAGCGCCCTTCAGGAAAGAAAGGGAAGGCAAGACCAGGACCAGAGCAGTGGAGGACCTGGTCCCGCTGTCCTGGACAGACCAGGTTGCCAAGCCTAACGTAAAGGTCCTGGGACTCTGCGAAGCAACTAGTCCACCTGCACGAGCTGTAAGTTGAACATTACATTTTGTCTTTCTCCCTTAATCATGAGTTAAATGCTATTCATTAATATGATGAAACAATGACCACTTTTTTTGATGCAGTAATGAAATGGATGATTTTACATGCTCAGTCACCATTCTAGTTATGATAGTGTTTTTAACCGGGAATGCTGAAAAGCAAGTAAATACATTTAGAGAATCTATGTTGTATCCCAGGGAGCTAATAGGCCATGGAAGAATAATTCTTTGCCCACATGGGTATAAGGTGCGTATATGATACAAAGACCATGAATGGTAATTCTGGTGTCCATTAGGAGTGTTCTCATCACGAGCAGATATATATAGAATACTGTAATATTGTGAAGTTCTTTGGGAGCTTGAAGTCTCGCTTCACAATGATTGCAGGGCCCTCAGGGAGAACAGTATTTATACTGATGAGGGCTACCCTGGGTAAATGAGACATATTTGTATCATTATAATTATCATCATTATCATCTTCATCATCATCATCATCATTATCAGCATTATCATCATCATCATCATTATCATTATTATTAATATCGTTAGTAGTAGTAATATTATGTCCCCTCGCCGACGAAGTCGGAGGGGATATAGTAACGCTACCGTCCGTCCGTCCGTCCTTCCGTCCGTACGTACCGACATAGCCTCATTAAATATGCAAAAACACCTAATTATATATGTGAAAATGTGGTTAACTTCCTTGCCTAGTAATATAATAGTATAGTCCAATGGAGGTAACTTGTTCTGACGTATATAGGCCATTTGTACCCTGCGAGGGGATGCTACGCTTTGCGTTGACTTGTTATTATTGTTATCATTATTGTTATTATCGTTTCTTTATCATTATCATCATAATCTGTTCCTCCTTGAAGGATCTCTCTGAACGTCACCCTGTGGTTTTCCATCCCCTGATGAAAGATGGCAGCAAACCGCAGCGTAGCATCAATCTGGGGAAGTACCGCATCAACCAACAAAGCAGGTCGAAGATCGGTATCGACGGTGCCGAAAGCCTCAACAACAGGATCACCCACGTTACTATTGACCAGGTAATGTCGGATGAAATGGCTATTTGTATTATGTGAGGAGGGCACTGGCAAAAGAATACTTGTAACAGGGGAAAATTAAGGATCACCTTAATTTGCACCCAAAAATCTTAAAAGAACATATGTCCAGTAAATATGACATGTAACACCAGTTTTGGAATAAAGTAACCCTGGAAAAATGCCATAGCATACACTATGAACATATACAGTTCCTCAGGTAGACAAAGGAACATCCCTTCACTGCTATTATGTAAAAATGTATAGAACAGGTGTCACATGCATATTCACCTTTTTACATAATATCAGTAAAGGGATGTTCCTTTGTCTACCCGAGGAACTGTATATTTTGTCCGCTTTCTTTGTCAGTCATATTCATAGTGATAGATCCTAGCTTGAACCAAATGTTTTGTGTGAGATTGTTGGGGAGGGGGATGTGCATATGGAAAATCGATTGCCGTTATGCACCATGATGTCAGTATGGGGAGTAGATTATAAGCAAGAGTTTTATGTTAAAATGTGTATAGAGAATTGGTCTTTTGACAGAGAGACCACAAATGTAAATCCAAGTCACATGGGACTACCCTTTGGTAAATATATTTCCCTGTTTATTTCTAAAACTATGCTGAGGACATTATAATCTTTCTTGTTCTGTACATGGAACAGCCATGAGAAGACCTTCAGTGGGCTTGCATTTTATTATACCTAATGTTAGTGTCGGTGTATTTGTGCATTAAATCAAGTTTTGACGATAACGTGCACCAGTTATTCAAATTCAACTGATTTTGCATTTTGCTTCGGATTATTTCTTTGATTACAGATTGACAGAGCTGATAGCGAGTACAGAGAGTTAACAGATGCAGACTATGAGAATCTCCTGAAGGAAAAGCTACGATCAGTCAGCATGGAAGCGGAGTCGGAGGAGAATGAGGAGGACGATGCGATCTTGGAAAGTGTCGGTCCACGAAGGACCGCTGAAGATCTGCGGGAGGCATCCGCGTACAGCATAGGCAAGGAGAGTGACATGTCTGGACTTACTGTAGACAAGCCTGCCACAGTTCGATCCCAAGGATCTGCAGATTTGATGGGTGCAACCCAGCACGGCTCCCGTCCCGAGAGGCCGTACGTCCGTCAGGTCGCGAGTGCGATGCCCGGTACGAGACAGGCACGTTCTAATGACGCGCAATTGAGTGCGCCACCTAGGAGCATGATCAGATCGGCAGGATCGCAGAGGATACAACCACCTATGGACACTACCGGTCAGAGATTGGGAGCCAGATCTGCTGGATCACAGAGGGCACTGTCCAGTGCCTCCAGCAGAATTAAGTACTCATTTGACCAGAAGGTGACACCAAGGACTGCCCAAAGTCCGAGACCTAACCTCGCCAGACCCGGACACCTACCTCGCTCCAAGGTGTCCAGTATCAGCACAGGTCCACAAGAAGGTGATTCGGAGTACATCAAGTTCTCACAGCAGATCTTGAAACCGGGTGAAGGCCAGGGCCATGATCCTGGTATGAATGCCATACACCAGTTCCACGACTTGACTTACGGACAATTTGAAAGCATGAGAAATACGTCCATAAGTAGCATGGATGATGGGGGATCCGTGGACAGCATGAACGTGCATCGAGGAGATCCTCGCCAGGAGAAAGCCCACTATCACGAAGATGGCACCAAGTGCACCTGTTCAGCTGAAGCCAAGCGTGTCATGTCTGCCGCACTCTCAGCCATGACACGTGTCTCTGGGGATCACTCGGTCATCAACATTCCGACAGCTCCGATGACTCCATCTGATTCAGACAGAAACTCTTTATCAGACATGGATCCTCTGTCCTCAACGTCCTCATTCCACAGAGCGTCTTTGGGCGAGGAAGATTGGAAGGAATCGTCCTTTGATCAGAGCGGTTACCATGCCCCTGAATACCAACACCAAGGAACTGAAGGGGATTCCCCCACACCATCCAAGGAGATGGTCATCAACAGACACGATGGTCTCGATTCTCTCGGGATCACACCCCCTCGCTCGGCCGGCAAGAAGCGCACCGTCAAGTTCTCTGACGAGATCGAGGAGCCGTTCGTCCCGTACACCTCGCCGATCTCCACCCCGCGTGATCCTCAACATCCAGGCTCCGCAGAGGGCAGTCTTCACTCTGGTGAATTTGTTCACTCTGACAACCGCCCTGATCTCACAGCTTCCAGCATGATGTCGGGAGAGGCTTCGGGAGAGTTGAGCGTACTGAGAGCCAAGATCAAGGCAGATTTGCAGAAAACTCAGGCTGAAACCGAACAAGATCTTAGAGGGATGAAATCACCAGCACCTGGCGTTTGATCAGGGGGGCGTTTAACAAAACTTGTCATCAGTGACAAATGACAGCTTTTGTTATAAGCTACTGAAATCCTTGCTTCTAATTGGTTGTCAACAGATTTGTCACTGATTTCTGTCATTTGTCATTGAAAAAAGGCTTTGTGAAATGGGTCCCTGATGGTACCTTGTTGCCAGTTTTCCTGGTTTATACCTGATTTCTGGCCCTGACATCTCTCAGCTTTCTCAGGCTTTTCATGTTGTTCAAAACATATGGCTCCTACATGTATTTCTTGCTTTTCAGGGGCTCTTTGGTTAAAACCAGCTACTGTAGAACTCTGAAAAGAGTTGAAAGAAATCTTTGTTGTAGACTTATAACATTTCTGGCAAGTTTCTATCAATACCTTTCATAACCATGTGTAACACGAGTTTAAAGATCGAGTGGTGCAAGCGAGATTGTATGGGAAGAAGAATGTGTATTGAAAGGTTGTATTGGGTAAATGCTACATCACTTTATACAGTCCCTTTAGACGAGTGCAGAAGATCAAACTGGGTCCTTTATCTATATTTTGTATAGCAAGATTCTAGGCCTCTGATTGGTCAAAACCCCAGGCATGAAATTTGCTACTGGCTGCCGGGCGGTATAGGTTTAAACAAATATTAACCTGGAATAGTTTTACTCGAGTGTACAATCCGAGGATGCAATGGTTACGCATGAAGATAACAAGAGGTACACTTAGAGAGACATGCGCATTGGTCTTATTAAACAGGTAAATTTCTTTGACTTTACAAATATTTCTTTTTAAATGGCATATTTCGTTGAATTACATTTTTTTTCAGATGCGGTATATAAAACATATATTAAATGCTTAATTATTTGGGTCACGCTTTATTACTATAACTGTTCAGTGATCTGGAGACTGCACTGTACCCCTCGACTATGTCTCGGGGAACAGTACAGTTTGGATATTACTTTGGGCAGTAGTTTTAACCGTGTCCCTCAGAGCATTCAATATTTGTGAACTAATAATAAACAGATTAGTATTTTGGAGAGTGATTTGTTGGAATGATGATATATGTCTCATTGTCCATGCTAATCTGTTACTAAATTCGGTGTAAAAATTACCTTTTTGCAAGTTAAGATTTAGTGGGGGGCGTGTTTCTTTGGGTTATGAATGAAGCTACTGAACAAAATTATTTGATATTTAAAGGTAATAAAAAGTTTTGGGAAATTTCGAAAGTTGGCTGGATAATGATTCTTTACAATTTTAATATTTTTGGATGCCCATGTGGATTTATTTTAAGCACTAGAAAATTTAAGCTCCTTAAACATTTTTGCTTTCGAGAAGAATTGAATATAAAAATTTACTGGAACTCCCGGTAAATTTTGATAAATTTTTAATAGCGCCTATGGCCGTACAATGGTAGCTGCGACCATGAAAATCTCAGAATATGTAGTTGTGATATATAATTTCCAAATGGGAGTAACTAGTTAGCGTTCAATTTTGGTCAAGAAACATTGTTTTATAGCTTAATTCATATCTAAACCTTGAGAGGGAGCTGTACAACATAAAGAGTTTATTATTTACAATTTCATAACTTTAGACTCGATTTCAACTGCGACAACGATCACTAAATATTGTAGAATCACATATGCTTCCAATATGTTCATTTGAATCAAATTCATGACCCCATACCAAAACTTTGTATTACCTTTAAAGAAAATTCACAAAACCAAAGATAAACAATTTGCATAATGTGAATAAGTAATTGCTCTATGCCCTAAGGAATTCCGTCCATCCCTTCACTGTATCCTACATTTTTTACTTACACATGTCTATTTAAATTGAATTGTACACTGGATATTTACGAAATGGAAGTGCAGCCAAATGCACCAATATGTGAATTTTGACTTAATAATTGCCTACTTGAATCACGTTCATGACTTCCAATCATTTTCTGCATTTCCTTGTTACATATAACCATGGCATTAAAATAGACACCATTTCATTTTTGACACCTTGATTCAACTTGCCGAAGTGTTAGTAGTCTGTTATCATATAAATCTATGGCTTTATTTATTTCTATTTGCATGAGGAATTGAATCTTATAATGTACATTGAAAAAGTTTTTTGATGAACTATTGTAAAAATGTGAAATTGGGTAATTTTTTGTCTTGAGCTTGAACAGAACACAACCAAGTCCAATCATTACTTTGTAAAAAAAAAAGGTGTTTTATCAGGGTTTTCAAACTTCAATCAAGATATGTTCTGCATTTAATCTTTTATATATACATTGAAATTTCTATATCATCAATACTTAATTGTGCTTTGGTCCCTTGTGAAGAATGAGACATATAATTTGTTTGAACTCCGTCCATTTTGATGGTTGTTTTTATATGAATTTTTAAAATGTAAGACTTGAACATTTCTTTATGTAGGCCTATGAATTATTGTATATACATTGTGAAATATAATTTATAACATTTTTGTAAACAATTCTTGCAGTAGAATGCAATGAAACATACATTGTAATTAAAAGTGCTATGAGCATTCATCCTATGCTACCTGCTTTTATTTCTATATTTTTGTAATTTAGACTTTTCAACGAAGTGGTAAAATACGGATATTATGTGAGAACCAAAATCATTGTTGATCAGGATTAGGACTTAAAAGTTAGGTAGCCAGCCCCGATATTAAGTTGGTTTTAATAAAAAGCAGAAAAATGAGAGAAACAAATTAGTGAAACTTTGAGAAATGCCAATTAAAAATAGAAAACTTGTGAGATTTTGAAGTTGTCATCAGTGAAACACAAATTGGCAACACTGAGATATCACGCAAACTCTTTTCCAATTTGCATTTAGGAGGAATGTATGATTGACAACTTTCTTACTGGGATATATAAAAGTTTTTTCTTACAGGGTAAATGGGAGAGGAGCTCGCAAGATAAATCTTGATCGCCCCTTATTTAGAAATAGGATGGGTGATATGTAGACAAGAGGCTTCAGTCCCCCTGAGGAAAATGTGCCTGTATGCTCGTGGTGATTGGTGAACAAGATAATTGTGAAATATATGATGGTAATGTCAGTGAAAGGGGACAGCACCAAGACTAAGAGGGATCACTCGCATAGCATTGTATCTCCTTCAGGCAAATAAACACAAACAACTTTATTTAAGTTCTAACAAACATTTATTCATTCACACACACGTTATGCAAGGGAATTTTCTCTTCTGATGTCCTGCGTGGAGGAAAACATCCAAAACCATCAATACAATAAGTACTTTTAGCAAAACGGGGATAAAGGGTTGTGACTGTGTTTTACCCACATGGTAATAACTGACACTCCCATGTACTGTCAGAACCGGTTTCAGCTGTTCTTTCAATAATTCTAGTACCATAACGAATTGAATGAAAACATAAGAGGAACTCAGATATTTATGGGAGACAATTGAAAGTCATATGCTCAAATGCTTGTAAATGAACAGTTGGTATAGGGTGCTTTTGGCAAGCATGTATGGGGAGGATTTAGGGAAGATCTTGCTTGGTTATCTCAGTATGTATATGTCCAATCTAACATCAAATGTCAAAGACAATGCATTACTTTCAAAACAACATGTAAGTAGATCATACATGTATTTAATCATCCAACTGAAGGATTGATGAACAATTACTGATCTTAAATTGGTCTTTATAAATAATAATTTCTTCTGAACATTGACTAAAAGATATTTCATTACAAACAGATGACAAAATGCATAATATACTGATACTAGGTAGTAAGCACACGTAAGCTCGATTTACTAACATCCTGTACAGGTTTAGAAGACTGGCAAAAAGAGCTTTCCGATAAAAAAAAAAAAATTAAAAATACAAACTTAAATCATAAAAGCCTTGTTAGTGTATGAATTATAATGGTTTTTGTATTGTGCATCCAATTACATATTACAAAGGATCGTCTATTTTTCTTTCTCTCTTTTTTTTGTTTGATTTGGTCTTTCACTGAAGAAACTTTCCTTGACCATCTTCTTTGATGAGAGACCTTGCCAGCCATGGCTTCAGGCATTTAAGAACAATCGTGCCTATATAACATGAGAAGTTAAATATTCAATCACAAGAGTTCAAAATATCACCAGAAACATTTTCATGCCCTGTCTTAAATAGAAACACTGAGAGGATTCGTTCTTAACTAAGAAAAATAAAAACATATGAGGTACTTGTAGAACATCTTACAACACATACAAAGGATGGAATACAAATTTCCAAGCTGCTTGTTTCAGTAAATATAACCTCTTTCTCTTCTGCTTTCAAATTTTCAGTAGAGGGCAGAACATGTCAAGCATCAGCATATAAATAGTTTCAAGCTTGCTATAAGTATAAAACAAAACATTAAACTCTTAACATAGATTTCTTGTACAACATGGACTAAGCAGCTTCCAGGTAGTTATAAAACCAAAAGCTCACTTTTAGAAACGATAAAGAAAACTCACAAATTAAACAATACTTGTAGATCACTTATATCAAAGCATTACACAAAATCTAATTCTAAACTAGATTTTTTTTCTCTCTCAATGAACTATACATCAGAAGGCTTATCTACATCCAATACATGAGCTGGATAATGATCATCTTGTTTGCATTAAGAACACAAACAAATACTGTCAACACAAAGTCATATCTTTCTCACTACGAAATTTACTCAAAATTTACAATAGTTGTCAAGTTCCAAGGTACATTTCTTTTCGTAAAAGCTTTAAAATTCTTGACTCGTCCAACTCTGTTATTCAAATGTCGCCTGTAGAAAAGCACGGCGAACACAACCACTTCCCTACTACCACAATGGAATCTCCCATTCTTTCTATCAACCTGCGAGCATGAGTAACTGCTCTAGTGATTAAGCTAGATGATCCATACGGGCGAATACAAAATATTACACGTACCCTTTAATAAATGCTGCTTTGTTTTGGTCATATGTCATAGACTAGGACAAAGAATGGAATAAACCATTGTGATATAAGGGGGTTAGTAGGAGAGAGAGAGAGATAGTGAGGGGGAGGGGACTGCTGAATTATTGCTTTCCAAAGAACTCCTTGCTTTCCTTGACTCCAGGCTTGATTGTATCATCGCCAGGCTTCCAGCCAGCAGGGCACACTGAAAAAGGAGAAACAATAAATACATAAGTCTTGAGTAAAATAAATCAACATTCCTTTAGGCTTTTTGATGATAATTAAATTCACATTTTGTTAACCCTTTCATTACACACATTTTTCAAAGGCTACATTGGTCATCTTTTCTTCTTCAAATTGAGAACGATTTAATTTTTCTTTTACCGTTATATTTTTTTAATAAAATGTCATGTCTCTGGAAAAAAAAGTGATTATGAACCTCTTAACATGTGGCAAATTAATTTTGCTTATCGATAACAACTGACATTATACAAACAATAGGTCTTTGAGACAAATTTCTTTGCAGAAATCATAAGTTTCTGGTTTTAGAGTTATTCAACACATGAGCCATTACACTTTCTCATTCTTATGATAAGCAATCTCATTAATTCTGCTAATCAATGACAAATGATATACAGACATGCCCTTGAGACAAACATCTTTGAAGAAATCATTCATTTTAAAGAATCACAACTGAAACAAAAAACAATCTGACCATAGAACCCTCAAAAGACTTGATGTATGGAAGACAAAAGAAGCCATAAAACTGTAGTCTCTTTTTTTCTTTTTTTTAAGGAAACCATCAAAGATTTGGGAATATTCATGATTCGACAACCAATTTCCTTGTTTAATGAGCGGTTTTCTGTTAAATTTCTGCTAATTGTGCTACCCTGCTGAATACCTTAGAGCCAAATTAAATAACAACTCCAAATATAGATTCTGATTGCTTCCCTGTGGGAAACAACATTTCTGTCTCAAGTTGTTAAAAATTCTAATCACTTTAATGAGCTTTCACATGATGTCCTCCATGACAAAAGTAAGTCTAAAAAGCATGTTCATTAGTAGAATATTCTACAGATTAAATTTGAAGTTATGAAAGAAACATCTAAAACCTTGGTTTTAGTGAGAAGACTTTTAAAAATTCAATAGTATAGGCTTAAACCATCCAGCATCTGGTTGAGAATTTGGAAAAGTCCACAAGAGAAAAAGAAATTGTATCTCAAACAAAGATAAATTGCTTATTTTATTTGCAATAGTTCAAAAACTATCAACTATGCTTATTGAAATCCGACACAATCATTTTACTGTCCAGCTTAAAGACAATTTTCTGCAAATTTAATCATATCAAGATTTCTTCCTTTTTCTTTGACTACTTTGGTTTTCTTATAAAACGAAATTGAATGCTTGTCAGACTAGATGTAATTTAATATATTAATTTCCAATTATTATAGGCATCTATCGTTCATTTTTACCTACATTACATCTTTAATATACAAATAAAATCTTCCTGCCTCTGGTTATTACCTTCCCCTTCCTTATTATCTTTCTGTTTTACATTTCTTTCCATTAATCATCATTCATAAGAACCTTCAACGTCTTTAAGCTCAGACAGTGCGAGGAGATAATTAATTGGTTAAGATAAAAAAGCCAACTTTTTCTGAATCATAGTTAACAAATCGTGATCAGTACACTTAAAGGGTTTCTCCTCATAAAGAATGACCCTTTATATTTTTCTTCTATGGTTTGATTATTAAAATGAGTAAATTTTTAACAACATCTGAAACAAACAACAGCTTTTGGTGCTCAAATACAACCATTATTTCTGGACGTCTCTATAATTCCCCGGTAGACGAAATGTTCTGAACGAAAAATGATAAGCCTATCATTCAGCTGTTCAGAACTTTAACCCAATTTTTGTCACAGATATAGAGTTAAAGAGGAAGTCTAACCTGAAATTAAGTTAGTTTTAATAAAAGCATAAAATGAGAGAAACCAATTAGTGAAAGTTTGAGCAACGTCCAATTAAAAAAAAAATAGGAAAGTTTGCTCAAACTTTCACTGACCTGTTTTTTCTCATTTGTTTTACTTTTATTAAAACGAACTTAATATCAGGGTAGACTTCCCCTTTAACACTGCATACATGAACAAGGCTTATGTAGTAGAAAGAAATAAGCATCCATTTAAAATCAATATCTATCTGCTCTTACCTTCTCCGAATTTGTCTGTGAACTGGAAAGCTTGTACCAGACGAAGCACCTCATCGACGGAACGACCGACGGGGAGATCGTTGATGGTGATCTGACGTAGGGTGCCCTTGTCGTCAATGATGAAGAGACCTCTGAAAAGGGGAAAGAAGAGGATTATTTAAGTATTTCAAAATTCATCAGGGTAAACATCTATACTGACATTTTGGTGAATATAGCCTAAGCTTTAATAACAGAAGGAATACTTGAAATTATGCAGAAATATCATAGTTTTAATTCAATATTTCTTTTCATTGTCTCATCTGAAGTAAATAACAGACTCAATGTACACAGCTGAATGAAACAACACTGTAACAACAATTCTTCAAATAATTAATGACATACCAACATCGTTAACAACATAAGAACTCTTTAAAGTCAATTTATTCTTTCTTTTTCAGTGTTAATGACATATTTTTTATTAGGTTTAGTTCAGCAGCAAAAAAAATAACAAAACAACAAAATAAACACAAATTAAGAATGGAATAGCATGAAGAAAAATAGAACATTATTTGTTGATGGTACCCATTTACATCTGCCAGTAACAGAAGTACATCCATAAATTATCAGCAACATTTGCGGCTATTCTAAGGACATGAACAGGGGTGACGTCTGGTCTATTTATCTATACATACCTGAGTGAGATTCCTTCCTTCTCGATCATGATGCCGTAATCCCGGGCGATCTTACCGCTCATGTCAGAGAGGAGGGGGATCTTGAGTTGACCGACTCCACCCAGTTTCTTAGTAGTGTTGGTCCTGGAATCATAGAACGATAGATACGATGGACATATACATTACATCAAAACAAGACGGAAGGAGGGGTCAGCATAAGTCATACTAACTAACATTCATATTTAGCACAAGTCATACTAACTTACATTCATATTTTGAACATTTATAATAATAACTATAGTGCTTATATAGCGCCTAGCACTTACTTTGTCAGAAGTCTCTAAGCGTTCTACATAATGCAGCATAATTACCCTGGCTTTACTGTTATAAATCATTTTCTATCATTACTGCTAGAACTGAAGATTACCTTTCTCTACTTCCACCTTCATATGTATCTTTAGTCCACATCCTCTCTCTGTTTAAATTTTTATTTTTCAATCATCCAATTTTCCCTTCCTTACAGTACACCCATCTCATACAGAGCGCGATGTCTCCCCTAATTACGCAATCAAAAACATCGTCAAAAGTTGTGAATGAAAATACTGTCTCTGTATTAGCGTTGAGGGCGTTTTATTTTTGCATCAGATTGGGCGCGCGGCACAGAAACAGTCCAGGTAGAGGACTAATGTATCCTCAGACAGACTAGCAAATATGATGCCAAACTAAAGGGACATGTAGATGGAAAATAGTGTAAGAAAAAACGGCATTGAAAGGATGTGAGGTTGCATCTCTTTAAAAATCAACAGGAGCAGCTGGGTTACTACAAATACTGGTCGGTAGACCTTATCAAAAGGGTGAGAAATAATTGATTGATTATGTGCCCTTGGACTTGACCTGACATTGCAGCAGCCTGAACTGAAATTACATCATTTTGATGTTTTCACTCTAACCCTTTGCCTACTGCAGCCGGGTGTATTCTGTATTAAGCCTATGGGGATGTGAGATTCCAGTTGTCAGTGGATTAATGAATGAAGAGATATAAAACCACTGAAAATTTACACAGGCAGTAGAGAAACCTTAAGATGGGTGTAAAGAGGCAATTAACAATTAACTTTCAACTATATTTCTAGGGCACACAAGAAAAGAATGAGATATCCTGCCAAGTTAAGTTTGCATTTACCGGTAATCATCTTTGTTAATAATCCAAGAGATGGAAGTTTAAAAAAAAATAGAACTATTTGTGTACTATTAAAAGAACTAATGACATCATTTTGAAACCATTCAACTAGAAAATATTTTTTTTTTTTGTCATCTCTTTTTTTTTTTTTTTATGAAAGTGAAACCCAGTTGTGTCTGGGTTTTCAGTTGTGATTTAATTCTACATGTAATTCTGAAGCTATCACTCAAAATGAAGATCTGTATCACACATGCATCTGATAGGTTTCTTTTTTAATGGAAGAAAGAAAAAGTTAAAAGTTAACACCTACCTGTAAAATGAAGGGTAAAGTTGCAGGCACTACAATTATGTACCAGGTACTACGTGCAAGATTTCCGCAATTTTAATAGTTCTTTGAAATCCCTTTTTTTTTTTTTAATTTAAGACTGGGGGTCATACATTGACTTCCAAGTTATTTCTTGTTCCATGGCTGTAATTATAAAATAGATTTTAGTGTGGGTGCAATTTTGGACCTTCAGAAGATTTGACAGTTGGAAATGTTGAAAGATAGAAGGGAAATTACTTCATGCAGGATGAAAGCTTTTTCATGTGAATATACATTAGTGTCTTCAAGACGTAGTGATTCTTGTCTCTTGAAAGCAAGCCAACATTCTGCAGAGATGCCAACCTCTTGACACAAAAAACAGACTGAGTATCCTAAAAAATCAGATTTTCACGAAAACTCAGCACTTCCACGAAAACTCAGCACTTCCACTGGCCCACTCGGCCCGGGCCAGTAACATGTAAGAAAAATGTTTTACTGCTAAGTACGGTCAAGTAAAATGTTTGCTCTTTCATTAACATTTAAAGAGAAAATTGTAAAGCAAAGTTTTCGTTAGGGTTGCAGGGGTTTACTTGTACATGTTTCTATGCGATTCCGCTGTTTTTATGGGGTTTTAAAATATTTTTTTTTTTTTTTTTTTTAAAGATGAAAAATTGTATTATCTTATTTCACTCTTATAATCGTACTAAATACGATTTAATCGTACTGGTTAGCATTTCTGATTCTGTGGAAGCACATGTAAAAACCGATACAAATACCGAGGGTGATTTGGGGGACTGTTACAAAGGGGCTGTAAGGTTTTAGGAGCTTTTTCCAGATTCTGCATCCCGTTCTTACCATGCTAAATGACAGAAGTGGGAGTCGCAGGATGCAGCGAGAACCTCGCATCCGATTTTTCTGAATTCATCTGACCTGTCGCTGAAGGCTAGGATCTCAGTCGGACAAACGAAGGTGCTGGAAAGAGTAAGAAAGAGAGGGGGATAAAAAAGGATGAAATTATAATAAAGGTATTTATCTTGCCAACTGACATGTATATGTTTATGTACCATGCCCCTTCTACAAGCAAATATTCTAAGTTTATAATAAATCACAGTTTCAGATATAGACACATGGGGACCCAAAATCTAAGTCCGGACCCCCAACATTTTCTACATAGTGCTCATGCATACACAAGTTCAATCCCGGGGGTGTTTCACAAAGATCCTAAATTGATGTTATCTCTAAGTTGGACTTAACAATTATGAAAAGCTGTTAGCATCTATGAAAATATTTTGTAAAAGTTATTTTAAAAAGCATAAAATGTTGATTCAAATCCTTCATGTTTTCTATTATCAAGGAGATTCCATGTTCTTGATGTGTAAGTTATAAACAGTTTTAAATAATTTAATTTTTGCTTTTGAATATACTTTACTTAAAATAAACTATCTTTAAAAGCAAACATTCAAGTAAGGCTACAAATGGATCTCCATAATTTTTAAGTCCAACTTAGAATTAAGTTAGACTTAGGTTCTTTGTGAAACACCCCCAGGAGCCCTTTATTATCATCCTATGTATCTATTTGAACAATTTTCAACATAGCAAAATCTGTATGTTTTGATCAAAAGCAGAGAAATAATATGGTCATAAAAATGAAAGTTTGAAGATGAATATTTGGTAAAGGATCAAAAGTGACAACTTGTCGAGTTGTGAAGATGACAATATAATTCAGCAACTCCATACTTCCATCTTAAACGTGTGCGGTCACCAGTTTGGCGAACAGATATACAAGGAAGTCATGATAAGTCCTATATTTTGTTGTTGCTTTTGTTCAAATTTACCGCTGTGACAGGGAAGACTCGCCCTTTAAATGCTCAAGCCACACCAATTAAGTGTTGAGCAAACAATGGCTATGCCATCAAACATCTAGGCAAATACATGTACACCATGACTGACTCAACAATTTACAAGCAGCCATCATAAATCGTTTGAGAGAAGTCCATTTCACTTGCCAGCGCAAAATACTTCCACTGCCAATCTCCTCTTCGTGGATTAATTTCAATTCCCTTTCTCATTAAAAAATCACTCACCAATTGCCACCAGTGTTGACAACTGACAATGATTCGTTTGCAGACCCTAATTGAAAAGGGCAAAAAAACCTTATTGATAAAAGCAAAGACCTTAATTGAAATTACATTGATTGCCCTAAACTGAATACAGTGGATTAGCTCCCCATTTTAATTAGAAATTTTCAATTTCCATGCTGATACTTGTATAAATACTATCAGATATCACCTAAACAGGATTTCTCTTGAATTGCTTTCATATTCCTACATTAAATATTACAAAAATGGAAAAAAAGTATCTTGAGGAGTTCACAGAAAGAGCCGTGATACAGAACATGGGTGTTGTGACAATGTCCAATGGAAAGAACACTGGTGGAAAGGATGGGTCTGGAAGAAACTGTGGTGGAAGTGGTAAAGAGAATAATGTTCATATTATATTTAGTCTTGGGAACCTACAAAAACAAGCAATGCTTTCCAGTAGGTTCCTGTTTCATTTCATAATTTTGAACTTACTTTGTCAACTAGGTTCTTTATTGTGTATTTATGAAATGGAATAAAATCAATCAACCAATCAAAGAGAAGTGGGTTGAGATGGATGGGTCAGGTCTTGAGGAGGGAAGATGCTGAACGTGTGTAAAGACTAAAGAGCATGGGAACTGGAAGTGGATGGCATTTATAAAGAGGGAAAGGAAGACAAAAGATTTCATAGAAACGTATGGTGAAGCAAGAAAGCAGTAAGGTTGGTCTAAATGAGGAGGATGCTGGAGACAAGACGAAGTGGAAGGAGGGAGTGTCTTTGTGACGCAAAAGTCTGTAGCCCCTCGTAAAAAGGGAAAATGCTGACTGTCACATTTTTAATAAACAAAAATGATGATGCAGATAAAAAAAAAAATGGCTAAATTTTGAATGAAAAAGGTTTGTTTGAACATGTTTCAGGATGACACAACACAAGTTTATCAGAAAATCATTATTTGCGAGAAAAGCGATTGTCTCGCGGAAGGTGTAAAACTGTCCTTTCTTTCCCACACAGCTACACTGTAGTAAGGTCTGGACTGATTGATTAATCAATTCAAATTGTGACAACTCTTGCCGCTGGGTGTCAACGTGGGCTCCTCTCAACTACCCTGTGCTTGTCACTTAGGTACATTTGCCATCAAATTAGCTTCGTTATCAAAGGTAATCTGAAGTACTGTAAAAGCTGGCGTAAAGACAAAGTTGAGTTCTGGTCATGCGATTGCATTGTGAAATAAACAGTGTGGAAGCGATCAAAATAAATTGATCATGTAGCATTTAAAGGTAATGCAAAGTTTTGGAAAATTCTTTAAAATTTGGATATATTTGGATGCCCCTGCAGATGTATCATAAGCACTAGAAAATTTAGCCCCTAAAACACTTCTGTTTTCCGCAAACCGCAAACAACATGTCTGCCCTCAAAATAGAAAATAAAACATTTATATTGATTCTTTTAATTGACATCTGGCCAAGGCGTAAAAAACGTCTGCATGTACTGTACATCACACTGTACCTTACAATATAGATTGTCTAGCATTTTTCTGCAGTGTCAACATTTTGAAATCATTAATATGAAAAACATCTGTTGATAAATCGCCCATATATTATTATCCATTATTCATTTTGTATGCATAACAGGTGCAGACTAATGGAAACAAAAATATTGTTTGAAATGCAATACGGTAGCTTTTTTACACCTAAACTGTGCATGTATATTGTACAAAGAGCGTAACTACTAGTAACTGCATTACATTTTCATTATTTCATTTAAAATGTGTTAACACATTTTCATATTTTTCTAAATCATTGAAGTTCTTCCTTCCCTTTACATTTATTTCTTTTAGATTCTACTGTGTTGTATAATGATGAATACCTTACAATACATGTAATACTGACTTGTTCTCTGTTACAGTTTGAGATTTAATAACAGTTTTCCTGACATCTCTGTCCATTTGACCACCACAAACACTCAATTTTCCTTTTATTTCTTTCTATATGTATTTCTGGCTAATGAAATTACCAATGCTGCTATTACTTAATTGGTTGACATAAAAATGTATTTTCACTAAGTTCATTAAAAAGAAATGAAATTGACCCTGGCTTTCTCACAGGTTTAATCTCATAAATCCATCATACGTTGTACTCAGACCAGTTACGTTTGTGTCACTCTAAAAAAGCCATGCTAAAGTGCAGAGACAAACCCAAATTACATCGTGAACTATATGTATGCCACTTTCATACTATCGGTCTGTATGGGTCGACCATGGATCAAGGATTCCATAATTAATCCAGACCCCAAATTGGGTGCATTTAACACTTCATTATTTCGTACAGCCATAAGCAACACTTTTACTGATAACTACCACTCTTATACCTCAGTCACACAATTGCGTATTTGGCTTGCGTATTGCTGCATATTTATGGCAAGCCGTTTTTAACATTTATTCCTATTTCTTGATATCAAGAAATTAATCCTAGATATCGAGAATTACCATTGCTTTACAACAGAAAATCAAGGAATAGGAATAAATACGCAGCAATATGCAAGCCAAATACGCAAAGGTGTGAATGAGGCATTAGGCAAACCTTTGACAATTAAATGCTCCAAGCTTTAAACAATTTTTCTACATGTGTATCGGTTGTATCCATCTATACTACAGGGGAACTTGTTATAACAAGGTCCTTGGAACCATGAAAGTTACCATGTTATATCAGGAATCTTGTTAGATCGGGGTGAAAAATCATAAAAATATAAAGAGCTGGGACCAGCAAAATCACCTTGTTATATTGTTATATCAGAGCTCCTCATGAGGTTCCACTCTATCACAAAAGATGCAGTGACCCTACAAGGAAATGTTTGGGTCCAGATAGGGATAGGGTCTGTGAACATATTTCCTATTTAAAGATAACCCATTTCCTTCACAGACTAGCTCCACACGCCCCGCCACAGACAATGATCAGTAGGCCTGTCTTCATCAGCTCGAGTTTGCCAAATAACCCACTATTTTCAGACTCGAGATATTATCCCGAAGCTAGAAATTGCGAACCGATACACTCATCACAAACTAGCTCGGATGTCCACAAATAAGCCTGCTATTACCCAAATAGCGGGATATTTTGGAAACAGGACCAAGACTTCTCTGGATATTTTCTCGACCAAATATCCCGCTAGTTGTAATTGCGGGCTGATGAAGACACAAATTAAACTGGTTAATTTGAGATCGAGATGGTTAAAATAGCGGGTTATTTGGCAAATTCAAGCTGATGAAGACAGGCCTAAAGAGTGGAGTGTTAATAAAGTGGAGCCAACTGTTAGTTTCATATTGGCATTATAATGCAGAATAAGTAAGAACTTGATCTACAAAATCTCAATATGAAAGTGATATAAGAGAAGGGGCTCCATCTCCATTGTGTTCTATTGTTAGCATTCAGTATAGTTTTTGTAAATACTTCTGATATATCTGTGTAGATGTGTAGAATGTACAGAAATTTATGAAGTGCATTGCTGTAACCTGGGGAGTGTTTCACAGAGACTAAGATCGACTTTAAGTTGGACTTTACTATGGCAGGCTGTTCATTCCACTGGTTGCTTTCACCATTGGTCTCTCAATTATGATCTTTAGATAATAATTTTACCTTCAATAATGAACTATCAAAAAATGTAAATTCTGTCGATTTTTGACCACGATTTGTACATCCCTTGAGTAACCAATGCCAGGAATTTTTAGAGGAACTACTGGCATGAACGGCTTGCAAAAGTTAATTCCAACTTAAAGTCGATCTTAGTCTTTGTGAAACACTCCCTAGTGTCCTGCATGGATAGGAGCTCTTGAATGGCATGGCATAGAGCAAATGTAGAGAAGTAAATGCTACCTTGTGATTTAATTATCATCCTGTTTT